TTGCGGCATCCGCTACATTTTTGCACCTGTTTTTGGTGCTCATCCGTCTTCTTTCAAATGTTACGATATTCTTATACCTAGGATTGACCAAAAGTTCTGATAACATTCATGAAATATATGACAACAAAGTGATACTTTTAATTGTAGTTTATTAAATACCGGCCTGTAGGTGTGTGTGTTTGTCTGGATGTGGGTGTGAGTATGGGCGTGAGTATGCGTAGGCATGTATCGAACCCGAGCTACTTAGGCTCGATTAGACGGTGTGAGTGTGGACGTGGGTGTGGGTTGAGTATGGTTGTTGGTGTTTCTTTATATTAACAGAAACGTACAAATTCACACTCCAAAATGTTGAAAGAAAAATCGAGAAATGGCAAATCCTAATGAAAATTTATCGAAAATAAATGATGGACAATGTCCATTAGTTTCAAAATGACCAATTAATATTGAACAATTGTATAAACATACTGTAGACATCTAATTAATATTTGCATGTAAATCTATTCCGCAATACTCATTCAATATATATCCATTTTTATACCATTTTTTGAAATATCTTTTTTTCATATTTTCATGGCAAAATCTTGTTGATTTTTATTTTGGGGATATGTGAAAAAAAAAACTTCTAGAATGTTAGCCTATATATCTCTGATATCAGTAGGAATAGAGATATGAAAATTTGGGTAATATTTTCCTTGTCTCCAAGGGATTAGATACCAAAGTTTGAGGATTTTTCGATTTTTTTTTATAAGAGAGAAAGAACAATTTTTCTAAGAGAGCCCAAGACTTTTGGATCATTCTTTATCATATGGGTTCTCCGATGTAGATTCGAATCCCACTTGCAGCATTAATTTTTTTTAATCTTTTCTAATGCTTAGTCATGTGGAAACGATAAAAAGTAATATCAAGTAAACTTTAAACTCCATGAATAATCATGCTGTAATGGTCGAGTGGTTAAGGTGTCTGACTATAATCACGAAGTGCAAGTAAAAAGTAATCAGATAGGTCCTCCGGGTAGGTTCGCATTCTACTCGCAGCGTTAATTTTTTTTTTTGAATTATTTTTAATTCTTAGTCATATGGAAGAGATAAAACTGAATACTCACAAAACTTTCAATTGACTTAGTAACCGTGCTGTGATGGCCGAGCGGTTAAGGCGTCTGACTTGAATCACGAAGTGCAAGTGAAAAGTAATCAGATGGGTTCTCCCGCGTAGGTTCGAATCCTACTCGCAGCGTCAATGTTTTTTTTATTCAATTGATTCCTACTACTCGACTGTGAAGAAAACTCTTCCATGATCATCTTTTATTTTTAATGTTTAACTTGTGAACCATATAAGTTTAAATCCAGAGAGCTAAAAAAATCTCAGAAATATAGTAATAAGACGGCATGCATACATTTAATTGGTGTTTTAAGTCGATTAGATGGTATTTAAGATCTCTTTGCAATAATAGACCTTTTTTAAAGAATAGCTTTGATGGAAAAATTGTTTATGAAAAATCTAGTGAAATTAAATACTATTTTCTCATATGTTGATATTCCCTAGACTGAAAGTATAGGGTCTAGAAACGGAAATTCGCCTGTGTCTGTCTGTCTGTCTGTCTGTCTGTCTGTCTGTCTGTCTGTCTGTCTGTCTGTCTGACTGTCTGTCTGTCTGTCTGTAACACGTATGGTTACCATATGGTAACTATGTGATCGTTAAAATAAAAATAAAAATATATTTCGAATGGCGCGCAAAGCCAATAAAATAAGATTTTCTTTCTATTCCCAAGACTGAAAGGCTAGCGTCTAGAAACCGAAATTCACCTGTGTCTGTCTGTCTGTCTGTCTGTCTGTCCGTCTGTCTGTCGGTAACGCAGTCAAAATGGCCATTTTTTTGGCACACGTGACCATTTTTATGGCATAAACGACCACTTTTTTGGCACAAGTGACCATTTTCGTGCCACAAATGGCCATTTTTTTGGCACAAGTGACCATTTTTTTGGCACAAACGGCCATTTTTTTACTAAAATTAACTAGGTAACTATGGTACAAATGAGCATGTAACTATGGCACAAACGGTCATTTTTTTCGTAGAAACGACCACATAACTATGGCACAAGTGACCATATAGCAATCATGGTACAAACAACTATTCCGGTAACTATGGTACAAATGACCATCTAAAGACTGATGTAAATGAACCCATAATAATCATGGGTAAAATGTCAATGGAATAACTATAATTTGGGTAGTGATGTAAAACGGCTTACTTACACAAGCATTTAATTAGTGAGAGTCAGACCAAATGAGCAGTATGGATTTAAAGAAATCGTTTAAATTATTCATTATTGTAAGATTGATTGTGCAATGTTGTATCAATGAATATCTAATTTATTAATAGTTTAGAATTAATGCGTGAATTTAAGCATAAAATATTGATTAATAAAACTCAAATTTTATGAATAATATAATTCATATTTTTGTACGTACAAATAGCGCCAATATAATTATAAAAAAATCGTATTGTTGTCTAATCTTATTAGGCGCTATTTATATTCATAAAAGCAAAAAAAAAATAAAACAAAAACGATAAAAAAAAATTAAATTTGTAAATGCATCATCTTTACTTAGAGTGAGAATTCTCCAAATTAAGTTTTCTGGTCGTCTAAGGTATACTGGTCATATTATCAATGTTGCGTATTACTTTTTTAATGTAGCTTTTTATGCTATTCCTTCCGTACATGTATTCTATCAGTCTAGGGCTAAGTGAATCGCTTGACGATGAACGTTACTTGTAGATGATATACTTTTGAATGACTAATGGAGTGAGAATTGAGAAAAGTTGGAGACTCGTTTATCTTTGTTTTTTCTTGTAATCATATTCTGATGCAATAGCTCAATGTTTTGACTGTAGCATGATGATGGTTTTTCGTTATGAATTTAAACATTATTGGTTGTTTTCTTTGTCAATGTTTTCTGTATTATGGATTTGTTAAATAATTGATTTCATTTACTACAGATAGGAATAGGCTTATGTTGGATATGTTCTTGCTAAACATATTTAATAATTATGTATAGAGCTATTTCTTTAAAATTTCGCCTAAAATGCACAAAAGTTCTTTTCACTCCGGATGGACTCTTTTAAGATTCGGTATGCAACTCAAAAGGGCCTTGTACAAATTCATACTAAAATCAAATGTGTTGCATTTACGTATCACTTCCGATGGTGTCGCAGCCTTCATCACGAAAATGTATCGCATTGTAAATGCTTTTTAATCTGTTAGCTAACCATTCATTCAATATTTTGTTTTTGCGAGTACAACTAGATATAACGGACTTGATTGAACATGCTGAACTTATGCATTTTCGAATATATTGTATTCTAGACTATTTCTCTATTAGTCATTGCTTGAGAACACGTTGAAAAATTGATTGATATTCAAGAATGGACTGTCTCACAGCAGTTTCATGAAGATGAAACTTCCTTGGGCTTCAAGAATAGGTATTACTGATCCCAAGGAAACTATAAAAGTGGGATTCCGGAACTTCGTCAATTTTGACTTTCGCCAATAATTGGTGAAATTCCACGGAATGTATTGGCGAAAGTTCAATGGATCTTCGCCAATTGGCGACTGTCCAACAGATATATTGGTGAATGTCTACTGAACTTCCACCAATTGGCGAATTTCCAAGAGATATACTGACGAATATCCAGTACGTATACTGACGAGAGTCGAATAGATTTTTATTCGTTCAAGTGAGACATTCATATTCTCCATGATATATGGAAATCACACTTAGTATTTTACAAATATACTGTGAATCATTCGGGTGTGGGTGCAGATGTGGAGTGTGGGTGCGAGGGTGTGGGGTGTGGGTGGGGGTGTGGGATGTGAATATGGATCTCTATTGAAATAAGAGTCCCACACCCACAATTTTCTTAGCGTGTATTTGTTACTTATCCCTCCGATCAGTACCAATATCATTTTTCAATCGCCTAATATCTGAAGGATTTACCAGCACAAGCCCAGTGGAAATTCGCCAATTGGCTAAAGTGAGGACAGTAAACTGGCGAAAGATCAATGGACACTCGCCAAATGGCGAATGTCAGGAAGGTACATTGGCGAAAGTCCAAATTGCGAAAGTCTTATTGGCGAACTTCCGGTAACCCTCTATAATGATGGATATCTGGTTGTAATGGGCTGTAATGCAGTCGAAGAGGCACTGCAAAAACCTCGTCTTAAAACTTACGCTCCCCATTTTCTTCGAAGAATATGCAAGTTTCGCAAAAAAGAAACTTAGAAGCTGAGTTTCAAAAATAATTATCAGCTATCAAAAACATCAGTTACCACTTTCTTCATTTTACTGTGTTATAAAATATTCTCATCGTATGATGCAAATTATTGATACTGCTGAAAAATATTAATAATATTTTATGCTATAACGATTGGCACATAGATATATAAGAATAGTCAATCAATTCAATATTATTGCTTATATCAGTATTTTATCAACTTGAGAAACAATACATCGCAATATATTAGAAAAGAGGGAAGTACTGTTCGATTAGCGGAATAAACATCAAATGACTAAGTATCCAGTCCGACCGAGTGACCAGTTCGACTGGGACCCAGTTACTGGCACTGGTGCACCCCTAATTATCCATAGCGATTGTTATATGTTAAAGAAACCATTAATAAATAACTTGTATATAGTTAATAGATTGATTCATTTGATTAACAAATGAACTATACGATGTATTGAGAGCAAAATTTTTTTTCTTGTCGCACACATTGAAACTATGTATATGTCGACGTTGAATTATTTATTCATGATTAAAAAGTTTTTGAAAAAAATTAATAATCAATTGATTTCAACTGTATAATATCAACAGTTGATTATAATATTTTTAGGAAGATTTTCAAATAAAAATATAGTTAATCATTCTCATCATAGAAACAGTTTATTAAAAGTTATTGCATAAACATATATGTAGAATGTATAAATAATTTATCTGTTCAATTATGTTCTCTTGGAATATTCATCGATCAGTGTTGACAAACGAGCCGTAGCTAAGGACGGATTTCGTTTTTTTGGTGCTTCTTTTGTTCCTGTTGTTCTTGTAGTTGCTGTTGTTGTCATTGATTTTCGTGCTGTTGATACCATCGTTTTTGTTGTATTGGTTTGAGCAGATGTTTCATTCTCTATAGGAGGTGGTGTAGGTAATTTTCTTTCTGTCGGATCAAGTGTAAATGGTACATCGCAAAGAACATTAAGTTCGAATTTTCCGAATGAATTTGCTTCGAAACAAGTAGGCACAACATAATATTCTTCTTCTGAATTTAAGTGAACTAATCTTGAAATTGATCTAGCACGTACAAATGCTGGCTCCTCATTATTTGTAGTCGAAAGAACATAGATACCAATGGGATAATATTGAGCAAGTGGAACAACTGTTTGAAATGATTGATGAAGAATTAATCGAACACGAGATGCATTTGAAAGCGTAAGAAGATATGCAGGATTCTTGTAAAATGTTAATGCTGTTGATTTAGTTCGTCTTCCACCAGCATTTTCTCGATGCCATTCTCCATGAATAGTTTGAACAGTTTGTTGAAATACATTGATCCACGTACGTAATTCTATTGTTGATAATAGTTGTTTAGAAAAAACTTGTAACCAAAATGAAGTATTGATATTTGGATAATAAGTCGATAGGACAACTGCATATTGTTTTCCTTGTTTAGCTTCAATATCAATAGTAACAGCTACTTCTCGTTTATTCCAAAATTTCGATTGACAAATTATTTCATAATTATCATTAACAGGTATCGTATGGAATTTAAGTTCAACTATCGTTATACCTAATTGTGCATAGTTAAGTTTAACATCTGTTTCTGTTCGTTCATGTCGTTGATCAATTGTATGTCCCAGAACAAGTATAGTTTTTTTTGAATACGAAAGAGGAAAGAGAATGAATGGATTTCGATAAAAGGTTGGAAAATTTGAACAACCACCACTAGTCATTATTGACCAGTCACCAGACAACAACTGCCGAGATTCTACATTTAAATGGCAAATTTGAATACGATTACAAGTTCGTTGAAGTTCAGGCCATGAAAGTAGTTGAGTTCCTGATGTATTCGACCACAATGGATGACTCTTGGAAATCAATGTAAAAAACGCCTAGACAAATAATAATAAAAATAACGTATAGAAAGTGTTTTTATTTAGATTTTCTCTTACATTTCGTGCACGACTATTTTCTTTCAGTATATGATTAATGCCATGAGGATTATGTATAAGAACATATTTTTCTCGTGTTTGTTGATACACAAAAGTAGCCAAAATTGAATAAGCATGGTTAATTACTAGTCCATTAGAATTATTAGCTGCTGTTGCATCATTTGTCACAACAGCTCCACAAGTAATCAATGCATTTTTTTCAGCTAATCCTTTTTCAATTTTCTCCCATACTCCATGATCAGTTGGTTCGAATTCTTCAACAGGTTTTCCTAATAAATCATATAATGCTTCCGATGTATTTCCACCGGCTAAATTTTCATATCGACCTCCATAAAATTGAGCATAGGCTTGTTCGATAATGTAAGGCCATTGAACATCTGTGACAGTTGAACGACAATATTGATACTCATTTGTTAATGATTCCATTATTACTGGTATTTCAACACGTTGACCTTGTCGATAAAAAGAACATGTGAGTGGTGAAAGAGAAATAATCGATTTCAGTAATTGAGGTTGGCAAGAAGCTAATGCTTGAAGTGAAGCAATAAGAAAACAATTTCCCAATCTACCTTGGACAATATCACCATGATATGGTTCACGATTTGATGGCCACACATTAGTAGACATTTGAAGAAAAATAAACGAGTACAAACAACCAACAAATATAAAAAAACGTGGCAAGATAAAAAAACTATATATAATAATGTTTCTATTCGTTCTTATCAAACTACATCAAAGATTTATCGTTATCACATTGTAAAGTAGAGATTCGTAGTTATGATTACTATCATTGTAGACATTCTTGGAAAGGACAACAATTTTGAAATAAGCAAAACAAAAACAAATACGAACACTACAATATTCTTTTGTCTTTTATACTACCTTGACTTGAACTATTGTTTTTTTCTGTATATAAATATATGAATTGATGTTAATGCGTCATCGACGTAATCTGATATATATATATATATATACTTATTGAATTAGCAACGAATTGTGACACACGTTGATAGAGTTAACAATAACAAAACTATAACAAATACGACGTATGCTTACTCATCTATTTTGTTGTTATGAAAAAAGAAAACATTTTTTTAATCAATAGTGTCTATATATATGTGATGGTGATTACATTTACACTTACGCAATAAATACGAAAAGAGTTTTCAACAGAACGAGAAGAACTATTATTTGACTGACGATGAAGAAGTAAAAAATAACTGTATATTAAGTGATATTTATAGTTTAAAACTGTGAAATTGATTTTAAAAAATGTAACTCGATTATTCTACATGATTCTTTCTAATTTTAATTGGATTGAGTGGAACGAGAAAGTTGAAAAACGTATTCTGCTAATGTAATTTGTCTGCATTAAACTCAAACGTCATTCCTTATGTCATTGAATGGTGAATGTTGTTTTTTTGTTTTTTCTTGCGCGTCATGGAAACATGAGTCACCACATGTGTGTTGTAACAAAAGAAAAAAAAACCGATATTGTTTACATCTATTCCTAACTTTCAACTTTGATTTAATCGAGACTAGTATTTTGTCATTTTATTCTTTTCATTACTTACTTTGTCTAACAGTAAAATTTGCCGATCATCAACAACATGTTCAGATATGAAACAATATAATATGAATTATTGACAATTTCTTTTCAATGATATAAATATTTGATCGATATATTTCAATCATTACCACTTCTACACATTGAACGAAGAATGATCAAGCAAGTGCCAACAGAAACTGTTAGACAGTTTTTCTTTTGAAGCGATATTATTACTCATGTATAGATGATGATTTTTCGGTCGCGCGAAAGAGATAGTAGTAATATATATGATGGTATTGAAACAAACAAAAGAAAAATGATGAATATATATTTTAAATTTATTAGCATTATTGTGGATGTTTATTGATCGATAGAAAGAAATTTAACTCAATTAATTTGCAACAATAATCCTAAGCGACTTGAACCTTTTTGTTTCACTCGTCTTTATGTGCAATGAAATATTTCTATGTATATTGTTACATTTTGCTTGTCTCAAACTCTCTTTGTTTTAGTTGTTCTTCAGCAAAAGACAAAGGAAGAATAAAAATAAATAAACAATTTCAATTTATTGAGCTCCCATCTCCGACGACTTTTGAAGTATGACAAACAAAATAACTGCGATCATTCGAGAAAAAAATGACACGTTTTTACTTGATTCTCAGAAATCAGAACATTGCGAACGGACGAAAATTTTAGGTAAAAATCGTCTGTATCGTTTAAAAAAATTTTCTACTCTCATTGAAAAATGAAATGTACTGATTGTTTCCAATTTTTATTGATAGTTATCAATCATAATGATTCTATCTTGATTACAAATACATATCATATGCAATACACAAATCAAAATTTCATTTGGTCAACCAAATCATATTAATAAAATAATTTTTTCATGCTCTTACCAGACAAAGACCAACCGAAAGCTTAAAGACAATAAAACTTCTTGGAAGTCTCTCACATATTCTTGGAGACAGGCTATTTGAAATATGTTCACATCAGAGATCGAGATCAAATTGAATTTCTCTGAAAGGAGGTCGACTCGAAACAAATGACGATGCCTTTATTCTGTTTGTTCTCTGGAAGGATGTGAATGTGCGAATGTGGAGTATGAATGTGTATCTTCGTTTTACTTTCACCCACAACCACGAAGCTCCTAGATGAATAGAAGTAAATTAGTTGCATCACCTAATACTACTGTTCATTTCGATGCAAAGAAAGAACAACGCTAACTCGAGTTTACTTGAGATTCTGGAAATACAAACAAGCATTTATGGAACAAATTTTAAGGTACAAGTGCTGATACTATGTTGTCTTAGTGCACTTGATCTTAATCTCTAGTTTTGCGATTATCTTCAACCTCACTGGTGCGGCTATCCTTGATGATGTCATAGTTCTCTACCGAAAAACTAAAAATGATTCTAAGTCAACTGCTTTTTCCCTCAAGTGAAGCATTCGTATGAATGAGTACATGTTCTGGTGAGCTTGAAGTAAATAGTTAAATTAATTAGTTAGGTAAATATCTCCATATTGAAATAGACAGAGTTTCATTTATATTCAGAGAAGTGTATCATTGGAAAAGAAACTACTTCTCCAACGTATCTTACTTCGAATTTGTGTATCTTGTGATACAGATATACTGATGTTGTTGATAACAGATCTGTTTATAATCATTAATTTGTTTGAAAAGTATAATTCTGAATGTACAGGTGAAATTTTGTGCAAACCAAACAGGTATATTTGATATCAATAACGTCAAGCATAAAAACTAAGAACATTTATATTCATATATTCGAAATTTAGTTATGGTGCTACACTTGCTTAATAATTATCAGACATTCCATTCAATGCAAACATTTCTATGATAAGCATCATCTATTGAATATTAGTACTCGATATATTAAAAGAATATTTGAACGAACATATAACAGTCGACACGTTACTAAACAGAATTGATTTTCATTCGAAATCTTCGTAATTAATCGTTTCAATCGAAAGGAAGCAAATAGAAAATTGCTGCCTATTTGTCAACTGCTCAATTATACCTTTTTTACGCATGCATACTTAACGGACCATTACCTCTTGCTAATATTATTTATTCAAGTATTATAATATCGTTTTCATTCCAAAACTCCAATTCTATGAATATTAATGACTTGTTCGCTGATTCAATAATACTTTTGTCAAATTGAAGGATAAATAATAACTTACGACTAGAAATACTTAGAGTTTGTTAAGTGTTTGTGTGCAAAAAAATAACCAATATCTATAATCTCTATTAACTTGATTCGTTTGAAGTACTTATAATAATATTTATCTTTCAATAAGGAACATTATCCTTTTTCTTTGTGAGATTGTTCATTTGATAAAAAGGCTAAACCACTACAAATATTATTCTAGTACTTGGCCTTGTGTGAGTCATATTCTATGTTTTGATTTTTATTGGCTATGAAAAATATGAGAATAAACGCAAATGATATGTTAGAATAGTGGCATTAGAATCACAGTGTTTAAAGGAGTGAACTCTCAAATATATGATCACAAATTTATCATATAAAAGTAATGATAAAATAAATACTGTGCGATATCAATTCTTTCTTCAACATATGTTACCACTAATCAGTATTACTTTTATTGATGTTAAAAATCATTTTTCTTTATACTGAAATTTTTAATATACAGGTTACTATTAGTTCAAATACCAAACACTAATTGGTTATCAACTTTCTCAGGGAGATTTGGTTGAACCCATTGTAATAGATTATATACTATCATATACAACTTAAAATTGTTGAAGTTTTAGTAAATCTAGATTACTACCAATGTATTAACGTTTATTTTCTTCACGCCTTCAATCGTATGTACATCAATAACGATTGCTTACACAGATATTTTTGATTAAAAAATGTCTGATCAGTTTGTGCTTTGGAAATAGTTTTCCACTTATAAATAAAAACAATTTTCTTTTTTTCAATTTACATAACGAAAAAGGTTTTTTCATAGGTTAAATGCACTATTACAAAAAAAAAATAAGGAAAAGATTCCATCAGTAATTAATATCAATTAAAGGAAATCATCGTTTTCTTCTTTCACTACAATATTTAATCGAGAAGAGTCATAGATTGATCTTATTTTTATAAAAGTAAAAATTTAAAATCTTTTTCTACGTAAAAACAGAAAAAAGACATAAAAAATTTCCTTATCGACAATTAAGAATAAGAGATTCAACATTGAACATATGTATTTAAAAAGAAGAATATTGGATTACTTATGTCCGTGCCAAAATTAAAAAAAAGGTAGGTGTAATCTTAGTAAACCGATAACAGTAACGGCTAGTAATCAGCGGTTTCGAGCAATCGAAAGAGAAAACCTCTGGACGTCTTTCTTATTTGATATTATATGAGACAAAATTATTTTACAATCCATCATCTTCACAAAACATTCAAAAATAGTACATGAAAACGGTATATCGTTTCAAGGAAATATCGACAAAAAAAAGGTTATAAAATATGCTAAAAATCAATAGAATTCTATATAATTTGATCAAATAGATACGCAATTTTGTTTGCCCAACATTGAGATATGACAAGATAATCACCTAAATCGTGCCTCGAACTATAGATCTCAAGTTGTCTTATATCAAGTATCAGATAAAAAGACGTCCGATGTTCTTCTCTTTGGATTGCTAAAAATTGCAGGTCACTAACCTATTGCTGTTGTCGAGTTTTTTGAATTTACGTCTATCTCTCTTTAATTCTGTCTTTCAGATCTAAAAATTATTAATAAATTTTACGAATCACACTAATAAAAAAAAATCATTTTGCAATTTACTATTTGGTTTTTGGGCATTGTATCAAAGTTGTATTTCTAACTGCTATCAAATAAGCACCAAAGTCTAGTTCGAAAATATTATTATCAAACGAAACGATTAATATATAACATTGATGGCAATTATACATTGTTGTATTAAACTTAGAAGTATTTTCATAATAAAAAATGATTACTCAGCTGCTTTATCATTATGATATATCTATAAAAGCCTGAGAAACTATGTCAGAATCATTATTGACCTTTACATGAGAATAATTCAAAACGAACTACATCGAGTAGTCGTTGGATAGTTACGTGGATATAGAGAGAAATCCATCGCTATCAAAGAATATGTCGATTTTCATCTACTCCAATAACGAAGTGACGTAAATAATTGTTGGATAAAATATGTCCGAACAACATTCGTTCTCAAATTTGCGTGCAATTAATCTTATTTGCACAAGGATTATAGAAGCAAAGTATTACTTCAATATGTATTATTGAGTAAAAAGAAAAAGACAAATATTTTTATCATAGTGTTTTATCAGTACCTTATTGCGTTATGGAATAGTTCTTTTTTTGTTTCTTCGTGTCTTTGATATTAGAATGATGAAAAGTAAAACAGCTGAAAAATCAAATCAATAAAAATTACCCATTCATTTTGCATATAGATACGATAATGAAAAATTCTGTCATTGCTGCGTTTCTTTTCTATACAATCATCTTTGAAATAAATGGAGATCCTTTAGTATTTTTTCCACAAAATATGTTACCATCAATTGGTACTACATTTAATTTTACTTTCAATGGTCTTCTCAATACAATGCATGTATCTGGAATCTATACTATACAACCAGTCATAGATCAAGATATGAAAACAATTATTGGCTATCGTAATTGGCAATTATATACAGGTGAATATAGTGGAATATTTTATGGAGTTTCTTATAATAATGGAACATATCTTCAAGCATTAATTGATCCAAATACACAAGAATGTAATAATGTTTTTGCTGAAATAGTGAATTGTACTGATTGGTTAAATACCGAAATTATAAGATGGGATAATCAATGTTCAATAGTTCGAGTTGATTCACCAATTTCTGGTGAAATGTCATTGACATTAGATGCATCAGAGTGTGATTTAACACGTCCAGAAAAGTTTAGTGCTACAGCAACTATGTCTGGTTCACCTGATAAAACAACAATTACTTATAGATTTCTATCAAAAATTGAACAGAAAAGTTTTCCGTATATAAAATGTTACTTTTAGAAATAAAAAATAAATTGAATCCGTATCTTATGTCAATAACATTCTTTTCTTTTCTTATTTGATCTCTCCGTTCAAAAGCTTAATATATTCGTCGTTGATTGTCTTACATCATTCTTATTTAAAATCAAAGAAAAGAAAAAAAGAGAGAAATAAACTAAACTCCTTTCAATCTCTCACTATTCGATTAAATATTGATGCCTCTACTATGGAATGGATGTTTATCAATATATTGTATATCACGAAGAAAACGTAAATCATTTTCAGTAAATGAAAAACATCATGAAACAGAAGTTAATAAAATATGCCTACGACATATTGAAAATATTCATAACATTCCATCAACAACAATTAATCATCAACAAAATGAAAAAACGTCAGTAGAAAAATTTATTGATTAATAATTTTTCTTTTGTTTATATAGAAATTTCAAAGAAACAGTTAAAAGTAAATCAGATAATATAGAATCACATTGTGAAATACATTTATCTGATCAACCAACAAAAACAAAATCAATCAAAAATAATGATTCATCTTATTCTCAAATATCTCTTTCGAAATTTTTTCATAGATCTGAAAAACTTAAAACACCATCACCATTACCATTGACTATTGATAATATTTCAGAAGACAATTATGACAAAACAATTAATAATACATTATCAAGTTGGTCATCATCAACAAATAGTAATTCAAATCAATATAAAACATATTCAAAACATCGATCATGGATTGAAAGTTATGATTTAAATGAACAAAATATTTTACAAAAAAAGAATATGTCTCAGACTAAAAAAATATCCAATGATATGAAATCTTTGGATAATAATAAATTATTTTTAGTCCATGTAAGAAAAGATATTAAAGATCAAAATATTCAATAACAACATCTTAATCATACTTGATAAAAAGAATTCATCCGATGGTAATTTTTATATTATCAATAATGAAATGAAAACTAGTGTTTTGAAATAACAATTTCTGATTAATTTTATGTCGAACAATTGTTTGTTTTAATTATAAATAAATCTACTTTGCTCTCAATACAAATTACAACAGATTTATTAGTTAACGCTTTTGTGTTAGATCATACTGAGAACCGGACTGTCGGATCTGTTAGTTACTGGTTCGATCCAGTTGAACTCTTAAAACTGGCCGGATTTTGTGAAACACGACCTAAAAAGGAGTGTTGAAGTATATAGGATAGGAATTTGCATCCACCCCCTCCTCTCCCATGGACCGTGACAGACAGGAACCAAAGACTATCACAGACCGTGATAGACAGGGTCCAGAGACCATCACAGACCGTGACACACTGCATGAACTCATCATAGAGAGTAACGGACGGCTTCGAGAAACTATTAGAGGCTATGTATACCTAACATTTAATCGATATCTATGTAGAGAGTATTTCATTGTTGAAGTTTTATGCAGTAAGAGAAAGAATGTTTGCGGTATATGCTTGAATATACATAAAAAAGACAAGCGTTCAGAGAATTAGCAACAATGGGTGTATCGTGTTTCACGTTTTAATCCCGCAGGGGTTGCGCTGACAGCTTTTTTTGGGGGGGGGGGGGAGGTATTAAAGCTAGCCTATTTGGCTAGTTTTTAACGATTTCAATGGTTTTAATGATTAAGAGATATGAGCCTGAAAGTTTTTCAATTGACAAATTTCCAGTCTTTACAAAAATTCCAGCTTAAATATTTTTTTCATCACACGATGAGAGCCTCGGATTATTTTGAATGAATTTATTATACTCACGAAAAGTGAACCATTTATTAGAAGTTAAGTTCGGTCTACACAAAATGTTTTTTACCTCGAAATTTCGAGCGCACTTTTCTGGACTACTTTTGACTGACCTTTATAAAATCCCAATAACTAGTAATTGTCAGTTCGTGCTTCTATTACAAAATATCAGATAAATTCCATTCTCTTATCACGATCTCGTCAACTACTAGCATTATGAAACTGTAAAAATATTTACATAATAAGAAACCTTTTAATATAGAAACTGCGCTATCTTTCTATCGATGATAGGATCCTTTTATGAATTGAGACGGGTGTGGACGTGAGTGTGACTAAAGAGAAGTAATTTATTCACATCCACACTTAATTGATATATTAAGCGAACTGGTTTTTCGCCGGTTAAGTCAACAATTTCAACCGATCAGTTCTGAGTATGCATCAGATAATGAATGAATCTGGTACAAGTGTCCTATTACTTGTTTGCTTTAATTAAGGTAATCATAGATGTCAAAATATCAAACTATGATACTTTCAAAAATCTAATGAACAAATTTAAGCACTCGACGAACATACAGTAGATATATTTTTGTGTTGTATTAAAATAAAAATATTATAAGGGCACTTACGAAAGTTGTCAATATTTATAATAAAATTTTCTTTACAGAAAACGAGAAAATCATATCGAGATATTGACAAATGTATAACTCACAAGAATTAACAATTATAAAAAAACAACACATGTAATTGAATGTTAAAATGACAGTAGACAAAACGAAATGAGTTATGTAAAGTTTTATCTGTTCGATTGTTACTAAATATTGAATTCTAAAGTGCAGAGCTGTACTCATGTATTTAGAAAAACATGCTGATCTCTCACCATAAAGAGCTACAAATAAAATTTTATCGCAATTACATCACGAGACACTGAAAAGAAATCGTTTAAATTAAGATATATATTTAGATTTTTTTCTAATCAATGATGAATGATTGTTTTATTGAAACAACTAGATAAATAATGATAATAACATATATAAATGAGTTGGCTACTTAGAAGAACTGTATCTGTATATCAAGTTTGAATTCCGTATAATATTTTAATTAGAATGATCAATTATTAAGCGATGTTTCTAATTTTAAGTTTGAAAAAAGAAAAACACACGCTTAAAAATTCTACTTACAATACGATGATTTGACCTTTTATAAATGGCTAAAATCGTCAGAATACATTGTTCTTTTTGTCAGAAACGATCATTTTATATTCAGGACGGAACAGTATCAAAGAACGAGTAATTTAATAAAAACTGAAAATCATGATAATGTCTTGACTTTTAATACGGTTAACTAATCATTTTACTTGATAAATAAACGAATATTGACCAAGAGCAGATGACTATACACAAAAGTCGTACTAAAAATTGACAATACTGTTTAATGAAACCATTATTTTCTACTTCTTTTTTATTACGAATATTATCTAAAAGAAGTCAATTATGATTTGATTGCTCATTTGATAGTTTCGTTGAATTGCTTAATTCTACAACACTTTTGAATGAATTATTTGAACAAAGGAAAGTTTCTTTCAAATTCAGAAATATATCACAAATTTTGCGAAAAGTAACTTCTGTCCAAGGTTGCTTCATTTTGTGAAGTACCGTTCGTTCAGGATTTTTGCAACCAGTTTCACATAAATATATAGCTAGTTTTATTTGACGGTTTGATAATATAAGTTCGAAGGTTTTAATTACATTTGGATGTATTGACAAATATTTAATTGTTCAAACTCTGATAAACTCATTTTTAAATGATCCTGAGCAATATGTTTGTCCATATCTGTGCACAAGATTGGAATATTGTTCCGTAAACTATTCATCACCACTGTTAACATAATAAATGGGAAAACTTTTTAATACGTTAAACTTTTTTTTTTGTCGTTGTAATTCTTTAGCGATTGTGAGACGACGTGTATCAATGGAATATAGATATTGATCATATTCGAAAATTCTTATGGGCGATAGAGAAACCGGATCAAGAAATCATTTTGTCAAAGCAATATGTTTTTCACTGACGCTCATTTTACTATTTGAAAAATAGGGATATAAATATTCTTGAGTGTATCAGACAGAACGATAACCAATATTCTGGATATCCATTTGGATGACTACGCTCTGTCTTTGACTGAAACCTTGATGTATTTTTGTTGTTATTCTTCCAGTATCGTCCCGTATTTTTATGATGTAATGATACTTATCTATTAACGTCCCCTATGTTACTAAGAAAAAAGACTTGAATCAATAAAAGATATGAAAGTTTATCGAAAATAAATTTTTCCATTAATATTATTTTGAAACAAGAAAATCAAATAATACGCTCGTCTTCTTTTATTCAATATAATTATTGTTAGACATTTATTAAACAATTGAAACTAAATCTGAATATCTGCAAAAGAGTAAAGTTCGCTTTTTCTATAAACAATGATTTTTCGATGAAACTTGAAAACAATATCCCTATCCATGAGCGCTAGAGAAGGTTGAATAATATCTCTTTTTTTCCGGTCCTTAGAGAATTATTGACAAATTAGTTCAGAAGCACAGTTATTCATTTGAAAACCTCTTATACAAAGTATCTGTATATCAGAGATAGGATCGGTTCGGTTAAAAAAAAAGCCTCGAATTAATCACATCTAAATCTGATCCCAGGTTGAAAAATATCGATTAAAAAACTACACCATACTTTTTTTATTCAGATTTATCTTAAACAGAAAATCCAACTGCAAATATTTATTGCAAAAAATTAAAATACAATTTTTTATTGAGATTCATTTCAATAACAAGCTCCAGGATATGTCTTAGGTTAAATAAGTGAAGTATTTTTCTTTTGTTGACAAGAGGAAGGAGTAAGACAAACTCACGTCTACCACCCTCTTCACTCAGAAGAAGCTTATGTGAATACGATGGCAAACAACTGTCACAATACTTGTCATGGGATACTCTAGTGTATTTGCTAATTTGTGTATAAGTTATAACTCTGTTCCATTAAAAACAAACACGACCAGATCTCATCTCTCTTGTGTATATTAGTTCGAAAGATGTCGCACTCATATTGACTATTGATTTTGTTTACTAAATTGAATCATGGAAAACAACAATGACTAAAGCTCATTAATAATTTAACAAAAACAAAAAGGAAAAATACAGAGATTATATTATGTGAAATTGAAATCGATATGTTATTTCGATAGGAAAATTTTTCGAGGTTGTTACCTTGAAAACGTAATTTTAAAAATATTGACCGATGGAAGTAATCACTTCATCGTTACCCTTTTCTGGGTAATATACGGAAGAGAATATTGGATGAAAAAAAGAAAGAAAATCCTTTTTAATTCAAGTATTTTTTTCAATTGTTAAAACTCAACATTTAGATATTGATGTTGATCAAACAATTTTTTTCTTATCGTTCATTTTCAATAAGTACATATCATTATACAAAATCATGGATGACTAGACATGTCTCTGACCCATATGTTCGTCGATCAGTTAAAGAAAATTATCGAGCACGAAGTGCTTTTAAATTAATTGAAATGAATAATACATATAAATTTTTAGAACCTGGTCATATTGTTATTGATATGGGTGCAGCGCCTGGTGCATGGTCACAAGTACTTGTTAAAGAAGTTAATGCTCGTATTAATAAAGGAAAAAAATCACAACAACAACAACAAAATGAATTAGTACATCCAAGTGAAATAACATCATTATATAAACCAAATCCAGATTTAAAATGTGGAATAGTTATTGCACTTGATCGTGATCCAATTTTTGACATACCCGGTGTACATATTATTGATGATTGGAATTTAACAGAAAAAACAAATAATGATTGCAATAGAAGATTACAAGATTTATTAAATCGTTTAAAAATTGATAAAGTTGATGGAATTCTTTCTGATATGTGTCCAAATGTTACTGGATGTAAAGAAATTGATCATTCAGGTTAGAAATGTTAAATGAAAATTTAAATAAAAGAAAACATTACTTTTAAATGAACTCAAAATAAAAACTACTTAAGTATCTTGTTTGATATTTTCTTTTTAGCTATAGTGATACTTCAACGACAAGCTCTTGACTTTGCTCGTCGATTATTAAAAACAAATGGTTATTTTCTTTGTAAATTATTTCAAGGACAAGAAACATTTCAAGAAATGCGTATATTACTTGAATCACTTTTTCATATTGTTCATCTTGTAAAACCAAGTGCATCACGTTATCAATCACCAGAAATGTATTTATTAGCAATGAAATATCATGGTGATACATCTAATATATCTACAAATGTGGATAATAATAATCAAAGAATAGAAACAAATCGAAATGAGATTGAAAAACTTCTAGTTGAAGCTCGTCGTATACGAATGAAGAAAATCGATAAATAGTAGCATTTATGTTTTGTTTTTTTGTGCAATTTCGATAATCTCTAATGTACAGATATACAAAACTATTTATCATTTTTCTAGATAATTTAAATGCCAATTAAACGAAAAATACGTAATTTACCTAATACGAATAACCAAGTAAATAATTATATGTTGTTGTTTTTTTTTTTCGTTATAATAAATTCTCGTTTTTAAGATGTCATTTTTTAATCCAGCTTATCCGAATGATAATAATGAACTAAATGAGGATGATTTATTAGCTGAAAGTATACCACGACCAACAGTTGGAAAAGGAAATAAAGATGAATTAAATGAAACACATGATACTGATACAATAACTAATAATGATCAAGATCTATCATTAGAAGTAAAAAAAAAAAAAAAACAAAATAAAAGTATAAAAATAACTGAAAAATTTCTTTTCTTTATATGTAGATGATTTCTCCAACTCAAATTATGAATCGTATAAAACAAATACAAAATTCAATTGAACAAGCACAAACAATGCTTGAATCAATGAAAAAATTTGAAAATTTTGTTGTAAATATTTATGTTTATTATTATTCAAAAAAAAAATTCTTATAATTAATTCTAGCCGGATAGTGATGAACAACATGAAAAACTTCGTTCACTTATTGCAAATCTTCAAGAACAACAAAATAGTTATATTAATTTACTTAATTTAATTACGGTAAATTAATTCAACTATTTTTATCGATTTTTAAAAATTAGTTAAATTCTATTGAAATATATATATCGAATTATTTTATATCAATACAAAAGTTCAGCTTTTTTTGATTAGGAGAAATAATACAATAATGATAAACGATTATTTATTCGAAGAAAATATAACAATAGCTATCTGCATTTCATTCATTGTTTTGTATGAAACTTTTGCATAAATAAAGTTAGGGATGCAATGATGATAATATCCCGCTGATGCATCATTACCATTGTATTCCTAAATGAAACAGTGGATTCTATTGTGTTTTTAAGCCCTTCCTCGTTTCATTCAGAGAAGTCGATTTTTCGAGATTTATACATATTATGATAGTCATCATTGCAATGAAGTTTAAAGCCTCGCTAAAAAATCGATCTCAGCTCAGGAACGTTCAAATGACATGAGATTTTCAGAATATGTTGGGGCTATAGTAAAATTTTCAGTCCGATATCATGACGTTTGATAGAGATGTTGACCAAACAAGGGTCAAACATTTTAGAAAAAAATGAGGTGCCGAATAAAAATCTTTGTCGTTTATGAAAAGTCAAATGACGGGCTATCTTCCTATGCATTTATCTTAATTTCGACCATTCTGACGACAAGTAACTTTTTTTGAGGATCGAGCCTTAAGTAGACATAATTTTCTTTTGTTAAACGAAGAAAGTTAATAACGACTCAATATAAAAGTGATAATTGTTTTCTGATTTTATACAGCAGACACTTTCAAAAAAGTTTTTTTTTAAAACACAAACAAAGGGAAACTCAACAATCGGACTCTATTACGATCTAGAGCAAAGTGTATTCTACAATTTAAAAATCACCACGATATATTGGCTCGTATCTGCATTTTAAAAACCTTCCTAGTGTAAAGAGTTGACTATAACTCATGATTATTTTGAAGATATTTTATCCACAATTTATTCTAGTCTAGACTCTGAAATTTTGATTGAAATCAGATGAACAATTTTAAAAAAAATTGTTGCTGAGGGGTCTCTCTTAAATAAATATTGCATGAATATCTTACTAAATTGTTTTTCAGTCTACTACTAATAGTATTTTCATGTCCTAGTGACATCGTGAGGTTATATGTGATACGATAAAGTGAAGTTATTATTAGAAGATTCATTTCTATGTTTCAATAAATATGAAAGTGATAATTATCAAATCTCCTTTCCTTTGAGTTCATAAAATGGACACTGGGTAAAATAAGTTTTTTTTATAGCCACTGCTCTCTTGCAGCTAGAGACCATCGGGTCGATCCCGGACTGAAATTTTTCTATTAATCAGATCCAAAAATTTCGAACCTGACGAGCTCTACTCTCAGCTTCAGATTCTCTCAAAGCAGAATGAAATCTAAATAATGTTATGAATTATGAGTTTGTAACTTTCTTAAAATTATCTAAACTTATCTCTCCACCAGTATCTTTCAGAAATGTTTATGTGAAACTTCTTTACATGCTGTGTTATGATCATTTCTGATAATTAATATGGTTTCTTTTATTAATATTTAGTTGACAGCTGAAGAACGCTCAACAATCACAAATAGAAATGCTACATCTCAGCGTCAAACACAAATGAATACACATGATGATGATGATGTATGTATTTCAAAAAAGAAAATAATTTATTTAATCTATTTTTTGTTTTTGTAATTTATAAATAAGAATGATCTATCACTTCGACGTAATGTTCAATCATCAGTTCGGCCACGTATAGAAAGTAAAATAGGTTTTCTACCGCAAACAATAAATTTATCAGATAATGAACAAACAAATCGTAATGATAATTCAAATTATGATTCACTTATTGGAAGTCTTAAAAGTGATACAATTAATTTGAAAGATCAACAATCTACTGTAAATGAACATTTCTTTTTTTTTTTTTTTGTATATTTTGACTTTTATTTTTTGCTTTTCTATTCAAGTCTAATGATGAAGAAAGTGATGGTGAAAATGAAAAAGAAATTGAAAAAAATTTAATGTTACAAAAAGAACAAGTAAAATATAAAAAATATGATTTTATAATTAACATTATATTTATTTCTATATTCAGTTTCGTGCTTTACAAGGTCAAAAAAGAGCATTAATTGCTTTGAAACGACGTTCAGAACAACGTTTAATTGAGCAACAACAACAACAATTAATTAATAAAAAAAGTACAAATGTTAATAAACCCAATGAAGAAAATAATCTTTTATCGGATATTAATAACACACGTAATCGGTATGAATAAGAATAACTTTCGTTTTTTTGAAATAAATTTCTTTAAATTATTTAGTTTAAAATCACTTCGAAATTTATATGAACAAAAAAAGTAAATTTTGTTTTTTATTTTCTTTTCCATTAACATCATATGAAGTTTCTTTTTTAATTTAGTTCATCAAATAAATCTCAAAAACCAAAAGAAAATCGTTTAAAAAATCTCGAACATGTTCGTCAAAGATTAGATGAATTAGAACAAATTGTAACATATTATCAAACAGATTTAAATAATCAACATAATGAAAATACTCTTATTCAATTAGATGATACACAATATTTAAAAACATTTTTACCACAAACAAACAATAATAATGTTTCTAAACAATTTGACAAAGTATCAAGTGATTTAGCTGCTAAAAGATTGTAAGTGTTGATTTAGAAACGAAGTTCACAGTATCTTGTTTTCGTGAAAATGATTAATAATAAAATGAATTAGAACGTGCAAAGATTTCTATTAGTGCAAAATTTTTTTATCAAGTGAAAGTCAAATCTATCAAATGCTTAAGATCTTGGTCTATATGTAATCGAGTCCATGCACATAATATTACTTCTAGGAGTTTTGCATTAGAATTTATTAATACTAATGCTTTAAGAAGGTTCTCCTTCTCTTTTCGAGGTTTCTCGAGAACGACTTTACGAAAAATTATGAAACTTTCAAGGTAAATAGATCTCGATAAGTCCAGCAAAAGTTGTCATAGACTCAAAATTCTCAGATTCTTCCTTCAGGGAGATATGAGGATCGCAAAGTACAAAAGTTTCTCCCTCGGTAAAACCCTATATTTCATTTTTTCGAGCTCAGAGATAGGTAGCTCCCACGCTGGAACGAGAAAATATCAGATGGATACTGAGAATTGTAGTTTTTCTTCTTCTGTTTTTATCGTTTAAAACAGAATCTGAGTGTCATTAATTAGTACGGAAGGTAATGTGTGAAGAAGCCAAAAAAAAAAGAAGTTTTCCAATAAAACAATGATCTTTTATTTTCGTTGGAGCGGAGCGGCTGGAGTCGATCAGACGTAGTGTGTGGAAGAAAGCTTCGTTTTTTTTCTTTGTTAAAGTGAAAAAAATGTATAGTTTTCGCTAATTTTGATTTTTTCTCGAATTTTTGAATCTTTAAAAAAAACATTTTTTTAGATTCGAAAAAATTTTGGGATACGAAAGGGAGAGAATGTCCTTACTTTTTTGTTATTATTTTTATTAGGTTTAACTAATCCAAAGCTATTAGTATTATTTATAATTCTAATACATAGGTTATCGACGATTAGATTTCGAACACACTAAATCTAGAAGTTCTCAAAACTGAACAATTTTGTTCTATTTTTGAAAATGGCACTTCCAAATATAAAAAAACCTTTGTTTTATTATCGGAACCTTTCGAATATGAATTCTCACAGGTAACGTGTGCATTAGCATTATAAAAAAATATGCTAACAGCTTGGTATTAATTAAGTCTAATGCAAGTAGTTTTAATACTAATGCTAATCTCATATCTCTAATAGATTTATCCCCAATTTAAGCCGAATTAAATTCAAGAATATTCTTCTACATTTATTCTCGGAAACAAGATTCTTCAGAAAATGCTCATATGTGTCCCGATCTTTTCAGCCATGAGTACACTCTTCTAATCTATGAAGAGAAGAAAAAGTATTCTTCAAAAGTTGAATAATAACGTAATATTTTTCTATAATATTTAGTACCTAGCTCAGCAAGATTTCATAGATGAATTATGACGGGCAAAGGTTTCTAAAAAAAGCTGGACACGGTAGTTTTCACTTCTTAAAAGCTATTTTTAGCAATACCATTTTAAGAGATCATCACATTTTCTATTTTGAAAATTCTTTATTAGAATTTTCATTAGTAACTTTTTACATTTAAATTTTGTCAAGACAATAATCTTCGACATAAATATTTCAAATTTTAGAGAACTCGAACAAGCAAAATCTGCCTTAGCTCAACTTCAACAAATGGTTAAAAACATTCAACCTGATGAATATTCTTTATCTACAAATTCTACTCCAATACAACAAAAATCTTCATCAAAAAGAAATAGTTTTGAACAACTTTCTACTAATTCAATCAATTCTACTCCAATTTCATCTCAACAAACTCAAATTGAAACACCTATTGCAAATAAAAAATCATCTCTTTTATCAAATATTCTTTCATCTCAACAAGTTCCACAACCTCATTCAACAATTAATAATTATGTTGATGGTGAAATGGCAGCACAACATCGTGAAATTGAACGTTTAATTGAATCTCGGCAACGTTTACATACAATAAAAGATCAAATTGTTTCATTACAACAAACTATGACAACACCATCAATTCAACAAAAACAAAATTTAACAAATGAAATAAAAATTGATAATAAGAATCATCCATCATATAGATCTAATCAACAAGAATATTTAAGTCAAGATGATAATGAATTAGAATTATGTAACTTACAATGTGAATCAGATAATGAAGAACAAACTGATGATGATAAAGATAGTCCTGTTCACTTGGATTATTATTTTCCATCACAACAAAAACAATCTCATATAAAACAAACTGTAAACTTAAACATATGTTAGCGTTCAATCTCAGATTCGCTTAGGTCAATACGTTGAATCTAACGAAAGAACATATTGGATACCATTCGATTACATATTATGGCTACGAGTAGGTCCCGGTGAGAGCCCGCCGGACTCGAATCCGATCGAACCATACTTTTAATGAAATTTTTGTAATAGAAATAGGATATCCGTCTCGAAGATACGAGATACATTTTTTTCCGATTTTTGTCTATCCGGTGACTAGTGCACTCTACACATTTCTCAAATGAATCGTCTGAGAAATATGTAGAACAAAGCCTGTCCGGGTTCGAGGCCAATCCGATGAGTTCTAGTCTTGCGAGGAAACCTCCCCAAGTGTTGAAAAAGCTTTTAAGCTCAAATCTCGTCCACAAGTAGGCGATATATAGACTAGAAAAATCCTAGGAGCATATTGATTCAAGTTGTGATTTGGCTGAGATATTGACATTTTATTGTAATTTTCCAGTAAAATCAAAGTTTCGACTTTGTCCACATCAATGCATCAGTCAGACTAGTTTGCCTATAAAGTTTCAGAGTTTTTGGACAAATTCTTTCTCTGAGATATTACTTTTCCAAAATATCCATGGAGAACACAATTTATATAGAAAAAAAAACATTCTTGTGGCTAATACACTGGTATCTCGAAGATAATTTGTTCAAAATTATTGAAACTTTGTAGACAAGCTAATCTGATTGATGCTTTGATGTAGGTAAAGTTTCAGATCAAAAGTCAAAATACCGAAAAAATGAAGTGCTCCAGAAAAATTCATTTAAATAGTCATAACTCTTTATCACTAGGTCATGAGTCGGAATTCTGTTAAGCTTGTCTTTGTCGCATCAAGATCAACTCGTAACGATAATATAAAGTCGAATGAGATCTGACAGTTGGATATGTCATCTTGTAAGATTCGTCTGAAAATTTTATATTGGACGTGTATTGTAATTGATTCATTCTAAATTGGCCCAAGCAGATCTACGATTGAATGCTAACACATATTTTAATCTTGAAAATATCTAACATACTATTTTTGTTTAGAATCTTTGTGCATCTGAAAATATAGTTACTAAACAAGATCAACATTCGAATGAATTAAGTACACAAATGCGTGAAATATGTCATTGTTTATCAACATTTATTGAAGAACAAAAAACTTTTAATCATAATATTGAACAACGTCTTACAAATTTAACAAAACCTTCATTATTACAAACAATTGATCCAACATTTAATCATTTTCAACAACAAACTTTAACTCAAAGTCTTATTGTTAATTTAAATACAGCATATCGTGAAATAGCTGTTTTACAATCGGAAATCAATGCACTCCAATCAGAAAATAATCGTTTAACATCATCAATATCATTTGATAATCAATACTACCATCATCATCATATGCCACGTTCATATTCAAGAGATAATTCAAAAGATTCAATCTATAGTTTTGATCAAATTAAATCTAATATACGTCCACAACCACGTTCAAAATTTGATGAACAATTAAAACAACAAAATCAAATTTTAACAACAAATAATTTATTTGAAAATTCAAGTAAAACATCATTTAATAGTCAAAGTACTGGAAAACAAACGGCCATTCAAGTCGAAAAAATTCATAAGGATACAACACCAATTAAACAAGAACGAAATGGTTAGATATTAAAAAATTTACAGCAAAATCTTTATCTAAAAAAAAAAAAGAACCAGAAAAAGATCAAAGTAATAGGGACAGTTTTTTACAATATCAAATTATCCCTAGAGCTTCTCAGAAAGGTGGAGGCATAGCTCATGCGTACAAGATGTCTTTCATAGGAAGTATTTTAATACTACTAAAATAGAATATCAAAACTTGTTTTTCAAAAAAAAAAACGCTAATTCTATTAGCACTGAAATCTTGTATAACCTCATGATCAACTTAGATAGAACAGCATACTAAATACTTATAAATAATTTAAAAATACAGACAAATAATCATATCATAAACTAATAAAATAGTGCGAAAAATTATTCATAATATTGTTGAAATGATTGAAAGAATTGGCAATTTTTTCAAACCGACTATGATAAGAATAATAACTCTATAGATTAGTCATCAAGGGCTTGTATATATAATTTTGATCTATATCCAGCTGGCTTTAATAGTCAATCTATATCGAAAGGCTTTGTTGGCTTGTCAATGTTTTGAAACAATCGAAGAAATGACTTCAATATGAACGCATCCATTTTTTGACTATCATGTTTTTGAAGCTGACAAGAGAATCTTCTAAGATGCCCCCTTCCGATTTCAATAATTTTTTTTGCCGATAGATACAACATAAAAACTCTAAAAGAATTTTTTTATGCAGCATTTATAGGCAAAAAGAATCATTGAAATCAGAAGGGAACATCTGGGGCGGTTCCCTTATGAGCTACCACCGCCAGTGAAGCATAAAAATAGACACTAGATTTTTTGAAAATTTTCGACATCAAAGATCAGTTCTCACGGATGTTCTTGTCTAGTTTCTTATCATCACGTTCTCTATTACAAATTTTTTTATTTTTAAATACGAGACAATTGAGAAAATTTAAATATTAAATAAAAGTGACAAAGTGAAACTCTTTATTTGCTTCGAATGTACACTTTACTTTTAAAATGTATGAGTCTATAACATAAATTTATAAAACAGTTAAAAACTTGTATTGATATATTAACATTTTATGTGAAAGTTTTACATTGTCGATGATAAATGATGACAGATTCTAGTTGATCCGAAAAAAGTTCGTGCATAAGCCATGATATATCTATCTAATTTTATTAAAATGAAAAAAAGAAATATTCATACAAAGATTTATGATATCCTTGCTACAAAAAAAACATTTTTTCGTTATTTTTATTTTATAGTCTTAGCAAAACTTTCTACTGAATGTTTATCTTCACCAAAATTGACATATGTACGTTCAAAACCAATATCTTCTATTAGTGATCTTCCAAATCATCATGATCATTCAATAAAAGATGATCGTTCGAAATCTTTTTCAATTCAACGACGACGATCAATATTAACTGATAATGAAAATAATCAATTATATAATTATAAACAACAACAACAACAACAACAACAATCATCGTCATCATCGTCATCTACCAATGATTATCAACAAATTCAACAAGATACATTGAAAAATGATAATAGTGATGATGATGAACAAAAATCAAATGATTTTTCAACAACTATATTTAATATTCAACCATCTGCTTATTATACATCAATAACTCAAGTATTTTAAAATATTATTATATAACAGGAATAAAAAAAAAACATTTTTCGTTTAGGATTTAGAAAATGTCGATATACAAACACTTGATTTACAAGTTAAATCAATTATGGTTCAATTAATTCCGTATATAATTGACAAAATAAAATAATTTCTTTTTAAAGCATATTTTGTTTTTTTCTTCTATTAGATTTATGCGATTACATATAGATGAAATTTTTAATCAATCAACTCTTAATCATATACGTGAACGTATTTTATTTTTATTTAAACAACAACCTGATTCAGCTGAACTAGTACGTCATTTTCAAAATCCATTTTCTGAATTAATTGAAAAAACAATTGAAAAATATTGTGGAACAACGTAAGATATTATAAAAATTAAAAAGAAAAAACGAAATATTTTATGAATCGATCTTTTAGTATTCGTGAATGTGCTGCTGATCTTATTCGTGATATATCTGATGTTGCATTTGATGAATTAGTTAAATATAAAATATATGAAAATACAAATAATTTACAAAGAAAAAATCATATTGATGAAAATACAGAATTATTAATTAAACAAGAAGATGAATATTCACATTTAGTAAAAATTTTATTTTGTTTTAAATTTTTTTGATAATGAATTTTATTTTAGTATGGTCCATCGACTACATATTATACACAACAAGTATCACCATTTGATGATGGAGAAAATGATAATAAATATCAAATTGAATTAGCTGAATCGGAAAGTCGACCATTAATGTTGTATGTATTGACTGAGAATTCGAACTGATGTTTTCTTCTTACGAAAGAGCCATCCAAGCTTATGCCCCATCGTCTGAGTTTATATTGAGCTTACAACAGCGTATTAATGAGACTAGCAAAAACCTAAAAGGGTTTGTCCGTATGAACCTTTGGAACCGAGTTATGATCGTTTTACGGAGTTTTCAACACAGTTTGAGATATATACCGAAATGTCAAAAAAAAATGGAATTTCGACGCAAAATTTTGCCCATAGATAAGTCTAATTCATAGATGGAAGTGGTCTAGTCTTTTGACGACTGTTACCGGTCTATTGATAGACCGGCTGGCTTAAAATCGGCACCAGCGCCGAATCGCTATTACCACTTCTAGCTATGATTAAATGTGTACTACAAAAAGTTATAGAATTGTTTATACCGAACGTATTAAAGTTTTTTTCCCCATAATTTGTTTTCCTGAAGTTCTAACAAAAATTCATTTATATATTTAATGCACAACATCAATTAGAGCCAATAAGAATGTTGCAAGAGTCCTGCTGAAAGGAATAGAGAAGTAAAAAAGTTAAATCGTTAAATATCTACAGATTGGCAGCAAGTCGTTAAACCAGTAACAGACCGTTAAGTCGGTAAATACCGGTAGACCGATCGGTTGTCGGTATCGATTCCATCTATGGTCTAATGATCTTTAGAATATCCTAAAAGATTCAGCCGAAAAGAATGTTCTTTTGTTGAAATATCGAATTTTTAAAAAATAATCACTTGTCACTAAAATCTGTCGGGTTAGTCCTCGATTCGACTGGCGTCGAAAATTCAATATCTCAACAAAAGAATATTCTTTTCGATTGAAATTTTCAGGATATTCTCTAGATTATTAGATCTATCCTATTGGTAAAGTTTTAGATAGAAATTCTACTTTTTGATTTTTTGGTATACACCTAATGCTGAATTGAAAATTCAGTGACACGATTATAATTCGGTTTTAGAAGGTCATGGAAACAGTGCATGCGATCAAGGAAGAAAGTAGACTAATTACTTCTCCTAAATTTTTCTTGCGTTCTGCATTTCTCCCTGGAAATTCTCTGTTGTGTAAATAACTAACATCTTTAATAGTTTGAAGGAACAGTTTGTCTTATATAAAAGCGAAGATCAGTTTGCAATTTTTTGAAGAAAACCAATTATTATTATTTTTTTCTCAAAGAGAAACTAAATCAGAATCATATTTTGAAGAGTAATATATTAAAAAAGACACAAAGATAAAACAAATAGTTTGATTGTCAACATATCGAAAATTCATTCAATAGATATTGTATGTTCGAAATTTAATTCAATATTTAAACAGTAGCTTCAAATATCCTTTTACAGAACATCAATTCAACCAAGTAGTTTATTACGTATCCGATGAATATGATTACGTTTTGTTATTAAAAACTAACCGGTAAAAATAGTTCTCTCTCGAAACGATATATGCGTGCTATCTTAAAAGCAATCTGGCATTTGGAAACGTTCTCTCGTTCGGTGTATTGGTGTTTTTTTGTTAGTCAATCTCTCATTTTGTTTTGCATATTGGAATGCCTTGAAAGTTACAATTAAAATAAATTATTATGATAAATTTTTTTTCTAAATAGAATCGGTAGTGATGAAGAAGATGATGATGCTGATCAAGAAGAAAATACAGATAGTGAATTAGAAACGGCTGTATCACGTCAAGAAACATATTTTAATGAAAATAAAAGTTTAATACCAAATAATTTGAATTCAAATGGACATGAATATATTGTTGTTAATGGTTCAACAAATAATAATATGATTTCTGAAAATGAAGAACAAAAGAATGATGAAATTAATAATTCATAAGATAAGATATTGGCCTTTTCTTTTGTGGGAAAAAAACCATGTACATTTTCTATGTTTTTCTTTTACCATTTATAGATGTTGCACTTCGTTTTTGCCTACGCTTTATTTCTTTTTTTTTTGTATTGTCTGCGTCTTTGTGAATAGTATGAAAATTCAGCATTCCATTCATTTGATATTGTCTTTTTTTTTACGGTGGTGGTTTTTTTTGTATTGTATTCAATTTTCATCTCTTCTTGCAAAGACAAAAAAAAAGAATTTTTGTTTATTGTCTATTCGATTCCAGTTTTTATGATGATGTAAACGAGATAAATGATTTTAATTATACTGCTTAATAAATCTTTCTACTGTGCACAATTGAAACAAAAAAACAGGAAATCTTTTCAAAAAATACATATCGGTTAATATGAATGCATTATATCGAGTTTAACAGAATCAAGATTATATGCTATTGATTAATTATGCATAACTGTTCTCGAAGTTATCATCCAGCAACCTAAGTCTAAAGATAATTCCCAGAACAGAGTATCACTTTGACCTGTGAGTGTTATTCTTAGATTCGAGCAGATGTGAAACATATTATATATTAATGAGAGTACATTCAAGACCTGTAATTAACGTTTCTAATATGTTTTCCATAGATTGTTTTCGTCAAGATAAATGGCATATTGTTGATCTACAGGAGAAAAAATTGTTGTTGTTTTTGTACATAGAATACTGATAAGTTTTCCCAAAATGGATTATATGATGAATAACAGTAATAAAAGTTTCATTAGATAAGACGAAGATCAAAGTTGAAGGGTTAGGGGCAATATATTTACATACAAAGAAAATAGCATGTCAGCCTTCGAAAAAATATATTTTAGTCTAATTATAACATTATTTAGTTTATTCATTTAATAATAGTATATAAAAATCAAAAAAAAAACAAAATTAAAATAATTCGAAGCGGAAATACAAGAAAACAGGCACATCTTTTTTTAACTATAAATAATTCATATTTCTAGAATCATTCTAAAGAAATTCTACATATAATTTATTTAATGGATGTCAAAATATATTTTTTCAGACGAAATAGAGGTACTATTAATACACTTCGTTCTAGTGCAAAACAATAAGCTATGATGAGAGAATATACATAGAAGGGAAGATAAGGCAAAAATAAAGAAGATATATGGTATACAATGTTGAAAAATCATTTATACAGCGCATGATAACTAATATTATAGTCCAGGGTTCGATAAATATCTATTTATCATTCTTGTCAGGAAAATTTCAATAACTATCTTTGAATACATAAACATTATTATTTTTTTCATGTATTATATTTTTATTGGAAAAGGAAATCACTGATTGTATTGATATCAGTATATATGTTACAAACTAACTGATCAAGAAAGTCACGGATATATTCTCATGTAGTTCACATTTATATTTCACAAAAACAAAATATTCGTTGAAAATCAATAATTAATTTGTTTTGTAGTACCTTTCGAAAATAATTCATAACATTCTTCTCGATATTAAAATAATCAAAGAACTTGAACTTTAAGGTTATTAGGTCCATTATTTATTATGCAATTCGTTCTGTTTCTAGAACACTTTTTGTAGAGCAAAGTTCATCGCCCTTGACATAAATTTGTCCGATATTATACAATATGTCACGAAAACAACATTAACGATTGTTTTTCCCCAGTAAACAAAATATCCATATGGAGCAGATAACATATGGAATGTCATCTGTATATCGAGGCAATGAGAGAAAAGACGAAAGAGATACTTTAGATTTGCACTTTTAGTGCTTTTTAGACTATTTTTATTGGTTAGCAAAATTAATACATGTCTTATCAGCTATTGAATTGGCTTATTGAGAGAGAAACATAGATAAAAACAACTGTATATAAACTTCGACATCAATCCATAACTTTGTTTTTTACACACTCTTTATACAAAACCAATCCATATACATCGGTATCTTTTGAAAGAACAATATATTTTACAACAGACGCAAAGATCTATTAATGGCGGCGTCTCCAATTCTGTTGTATACTTTATTCTTATTGCTCAGTAAGATTTATTTAAATTGAAAACATTACTTCGAATTCATTTCTATAGTTTGTCGAGCTTCGGCTGCACCATTAACTCCAACAAAATATCCTAATCCGATATGTTCAGGAGGTATGTCTATATATGTGATTGTTAAACAAATAAAAAGAAAAAAGTATTTCAAATTTTTTAGCTCAACTTGTCGCACCTGGTCAAGCACCATTAGTTTATCAATATAAAACAGAAGTTAAATTATCTGTTGCTAATGGTCAATTTGATTTAGAAACTGAAATTACTGCTAATGTAAACATTAAAGGTTTAGGTGATTGTAATTATGCAGTTCAGGTAAATATATGAAATAATTTTTGTTTAGTTTATTAAAATAAAATATTTTTTGATAGCTTCGTAATGTTAAAATAACTGAAACAAAAGATGAAGATAAAAGAGTTGTTACATCAACTGCAAATGCTCAAAGAGAACTTGAAAATCTTGTTGTTCGTTTTCGATGGGTTGATGGTGTTCTTTCAGGAGTTGAAGCTGATTCATCAGCTAAAGTTGATTATGTCAACTTTGTTAAAGGTGTTCTTAGTGCACTTCAAGTTTATTCACCTGTCGTAAATGATGATGAAACTGTCGTAAGTTTAAATAGAAAAAATATCGATATTTTAACAGATTGTATTGTTTCATTCAAGGTACGTGAAGAAGATGTACTCGGTGTATGTACAACTGTATATAAATTTTCACAAAAAGACAGCACAACAGAAGTTAAGAAAAACAAAGATTTATCAACATGTTCAAGAGATAAATTACATTTAAGTTCAAGTCCTGTTTTAACTTCAGTACTTGGACCTCTTGTAAGTTTGAATAAGATAATGAGAAAAAAAAAGCAATTTTTTGAATGATATATTTAATTCTTAGATGGAAGAAGTTTTTACATCTAGAACTCGTTATATGTGTCGAACAGAAATTCGCGATAAAAAAGTTCAATCGGTTAAATGTAAAACAGTCGATATGGATGCAGATGATACTAAAACATCAACTCAAAAACGTACACAAACTTGGGACGATAATGATGATCATATTGATACAGATGATAGTTCAGAAGAAGTTAATGCTAATTTTAATGTTAATGATCGTGATGATGAAATATCATCGAAATTTATTTTAATTAAACAAGAATTAAAATTATTAACAAGCGGATATGTTCCTGTTGATGAAAGTTTGTTAATTAAAATTTAAATAATAAAATAGAAAATACAAAAAAAAAATTCTTATTTATTTTTATTAGATGCTGTTAAAAATCCTGTTCGACAAACATTACAATTTGTTCCAACAGCATCATTTGATCAATCTAATGAGGCTCTATCTTCATTAGTATCAAAAATTCAAGCACTTTTAAAAACCGAAGATTGGAGTCAATTTGCTGCTGCACAATTTGTTGATATAACTAATCAATTAAGACGTATGGATAAAGCAAATGTTGAAGCATTCGCAGCCAAATCAGAACTTAAGTAAGACATTATTTATGTTCATCATTTAAATTAAATATTTATCATGAGATAACCAACCATAATAAACAAATAAGAAATCAACGTTTGTCACACAATTAATGTTTTTTTTTGTTATTTGATAGAGATATGGTTCCAACATTTCTCCATAAGCTTTATGCTCATGATCCAACTGTTTCATTACTTAATCTTGATACGAAAACTTTGAAATTTGTTAATCCATCAGCAGTTTTTTATTTGGATAAACCATCAACAGAATTAGTTAATCAAGTTGTTCAAGGTGCAAGTCGATTAACTAGTTCACAAGTACCAGAATTTGTTGGAGTTGCTGCTAGAATTCTTCAAACATACAAAGCTCGACATGAGAACGTTAGAGAGGCTGATGCTGTATGTATTTTAGATTAATCTTTTTTTTTAACCTTCGTTTTTGTTTTTTTCTTTTAGAAAATAAAAGAATTTCAACGAGCTATTGCAAAATTTTTATCTAATCCATCAGATTCTAATATTGATGTTACAACAACCGTTTTATCAGCTTATGCTCAATTAGGTTTATATGATGATCAAGTACAACGTTTAGCTGCTAATGATAAAGCACCATTACAAGTTCAATATCATGCACTTAATGTTATTCGTCATATAAGTGATGATTATATTGATAAAAAAGATGAATTAAAACTTCGAACAGATCTTCAAAATCTTCTATTACGAAAACTTCAAAATAAAGCTAATAAAAATGCTGTACGAGTATGGGCATTTGAAGCATTATATACACCATTTATTTATAATCCAGAAGAAGATAATTCAACATTGGCTGATAATTTAGAAAAAGCATTTTCGGATATTCTTAATGAACCACTTAATCAGGTAAAATATGAATTTCAATGCGGCAAAAAAAAGATACGTTGAAAATGATTTCTAATACTTTGAATTGAAATTATTTTCATACATTTCGTAAACTTATAATTCATATATGATGATGTCTTGAAAATTTGTCGTCGGCAATAAAAGAATGATTTTTATACACATGATAGTGATGAGAGGAAAAAAACACAATCTTCTTATCGTCTTAATTTTCAAAGCCTTATTCATCTTGTTAGGCAATAACAATTAATTTTCGACATTAACAAAAACCGATTTTTCAAAGATTTGATCATATCTCAGAACGCGATTCTTCGTTTTGTTATCATCTCGAGATTTCCAAGAAGAATTTGTACCATTTTGAACTTCTTATTCTAAATTTGTAATCCATCGCGCCAGTAACAACTAATAAGCTCAAACTTAAACGTATTCAGGAAAAAATTTTGCATGGTGCTGACTACTACGGGGTGTACCACAATTTCTCGTTTTTAGAGAAATTTGAGTCCGAGCTAAAATTCGTGTAACTCCAGCCAGTTCAAAATAGAATTATATAAACAAAAATAAATACACTAGTGGACAAAAATTCCTTCCTTCAGCAGATCTCAACTTTCATACATGCGGCAAATCTGTACATATTCCATCAAGCATGTAGACCAGAGACACGTGGTCATTCCGATAGTTTATATACAAACGAGAATTATGATAGATGACGTCTATTTTTGCTTCAAGCTTTAAATTGCTCGTCACCTTCACTCATATTAATTTGAATCTTTCAAATTGAATCGTTCGTCTGTTTTTGTTTTTTTTTATGTTTGTTTTCTTATTCTTTATATTTAAATAGGTAAATGGTTTTATTTGGTCAGCACTTAAATATTCATCACTTGATCGTCTTTGTCCATTACGTGGCCTTGCTTCTCGTCTTCGTGCTCATCATGATAATAAACAACAATTTTTAGAACAACAAACACTATCATCACGTCAAGTTCAAATTGAATTACCACTTCGTAAAAATTATCGTGCAGTTGTACATGTTTGTGTAGTATTTGAAAATGATCGTGTTGTACCATCATTTCTCGATGTTAAATTAGCATTTGATGGTGTACGTCGTGAAACATTACGTTTACCATGGATTGATGTTGCATTAATTAGTGAAAATCTTGATTGGAATTTTGCTGATTATTTCTTACGTTTAGATCCATTAAATAAAAAAATGAATGAAGATGAAAAAACTCGTGTTAAAAATAATTTACCAGCTGGTGTAAAAAAACTTCAAGCTGTAATTATTATTTTTTTTTAAATCAAAAAGATAAAATTCTTTTTTTATTTTTCTTTTCAATAGACTTATGATGGAAAAGATGAAGATCCTGATCCATCCGTTTATTTTTATTTAAAATTATTTGGTACTGATATGCGTGGAAGTGATGTTACAAATAAAGTTCAAGATATGCTTCGTACAAATGTACGTACATTTGTTCGAAATCAAATGTTAAATCGTTTAAAAGATCTTGTTGGAAAAAATCCGATATTTCGTATACCATTAGAAATTGGTGCTGCATCAGCAGCTGCTAATGGTTTAACATTATATAAAGCAGCACAAATTGGTGTTCTTGCTGATTTAACAACTGATTTAAAAAATAATCGTGATGATTCTGGACTTGGAACATATTCAATGACAAGTCGATCAGCGTAAGTTTTCATTTTCTTTTTTGTTTTTTTAAAATAATTTATTTAAAATTTTTTTTGTTTTGCTTTGTTTTAAGATTAAGTTTTTCATTAACACTTCAACGTGAAGTATCAGGACCATGGACAACAGTTGGTGAAACAATTGAAATGGGTGTTTTATCAAGTGTTCCATTTCAATATACAACTGTAGCAAATAATCAAGGACGTACACGTGAATTAAATCTTCTTAATCCACAATCAAAACTTCTTGCAATGGAGTAAAGATTTCTTTTTTTTTGTTTTGATTGTTTTTTTAAAATTTATTTCAATTTTTTTTCTAGCTTTCAATTTGCAGTACGTACATCAAAAGGTTTTGAAGTTATTCCAAATCCAAAATCAACTAGTATTGATCCATCATGCACATCAAGTGCCCTTTATCGTGCATTAGGTGTTCGATTGTGCTTAGAACTTAATCCATTTCGTTCACTTCAACTCGGTAGCCGACCATCATATCCTATAACTGTAAGTATGACTATTATTATGAATATCCTATAAGGTCTAATACTGCGCGACTAGAATTATGAGAACTTGAATGCAGAATTCGAAGATAATATTATAGCTGCGGGTATCTGGTTCACAAAAGCGTGGATCTGCAGGTCCCTACATTGATTGCCTTAGAACATATTTTTGCTTGATCTTGTTTACATAAATATAACTAAAACTATTTCATACAAATTAAGATTTTAGTGTTTGTGTTGGTTTGACAATTTTCAAATGACAAATTTTGTTTATCAGTTAATTGTTTAATTTCCTTTTCTATTCATATAATACTCTTTTCAACTAAGCGAAAACTTTTAATTTATTAAGAGAGCTTCTATGAGTTGTTCATCCTAAAATTTTAAAATTTTTGTAAAGCCAACATGAGTCAAAGGAGTCCTTTTGATGAATTCAAATACAACAATGTACCTGTTGCTGTATTTCAGGATCAGAAGTACCCAAGTTGGCACATCTTTAGTATAATATTTTTGAGTTGGTGGTTTTAGACATTGATGCGTTGGATGAGCAAAAAAAATTTTTATAGAGTGCCTCGTATACTCGGTACTCTCCATGGATGCTCTCTTAAATATTGAATGATGAAAAAGTGAACAACAATAAAACTTTAATTCTCCATTTTTGTTCGTGTGCATAGAAGATGCCAGATGTTGATGAAAAAAACTCAGATCTGGATTCGGGTTCAGAAGTTTAGTTTTTCTCGGATGTGAAGCAACAAACATATAGCTCCGTAGCTGAAATATTAGTAATAAATGATCTTTTATATATAGGTAACTGTTAGCAAAGATCCATCAGTCACAAAATGGCGTATGGGTTGGCGTTTTAATGCTCAAGATGCTCCACAATTTGAAGTAGTCGTCGAAAGCGTTGGTGCAAAAGAAACATATCCTGGTATGTTCAAATAAACTTCTTCATATTAATAAACATGTTTTGTTTTTTTTTCTAGGTTTGGGTATGTCTGTAACAACGAATGGCAATAATTTTAATGTTAAAGTTTTAACTGGAATGAAATTTTTTAATGTCAAAGGTAGAAAAATAAAAAAAAACAATATTGTGCTTTTTCTTATTCATTATTTTTTTTTTTTGTATCCGATAGGCACACAAACGGGTAATAAATTTAGTGGTACAGTATATTCAAGTGATAATAAAGAAGTAATGACAACATCTGGAACATGGACTGCTGATAGTAATGGTTTTAAAATGGAAGGTAAACTTGTTGATATGTCAACCAACAAAGAAGTTGTAACATTAACAACTGATATGTCACCAAATCGTGGACAAGGTCTTACAGCTAATATTGTTTTAACAACACCCGATAAAGCTAAATCATTTAAAGTTCATTGTAAGTTTTATTCTTACTCGATTTTTTTTGTGTTAAATTAAATAATGTTTTTTTTTTAAAAATTTATCTATTAGTTCGCGGTGATTTATATAAACCAAATTCAAAACTTATTCATATGCATGGAGGTGTTCATCTTGGTGATACAAATTATCATGGAAAAATGAATTTTGAATGTGATGATGCTCATACACGTATTGAATTATCTCGTTCAGTAAAATTAAATAAAAATTTATCACCAAGTGGTTATGAATTCTTTTATGAACGTAAAAATACTAAAGAAACAAATCAAAATAGTTCGAATATTGTATCACATTTATCATTACGAACACCAACACAGAATGAACCAATGAAAGTATATAATTTCAAATCAGATTGGACTCGTACAAATGACTTATCAAATGCAACACTTCAAAGTTCACTTGATTATGTACTTTTAACACGTAATCCACCAGTACAAGAAAGAGTTGAACTTGATTATATGAGACGATCAGTACGAACAAGTAATGCAGCAAGACGTTTAATATCACCAGAAGCAAATTTAAAAATTCAAGTTAAAACCAAATCAAATGTTTTTAATTTTCTTATTGATCATCGACATCGAAGAAGTTCAGAAACATCGAAAAAAGGTTTGATTTATTAAAGAAATATTTTTGTTTTCTTCTAAAATAATATTTCAACCAAAAAAAAATAATTAACTTGATGAATGACATAAATCTTCTATTATCTTTCTTAAGAAAAATCATAATGAAATAAAATATAAGAGAAGCTGAAGTCAGACAAGAAAATCTATTGTCTTTAGTTCGAATTTTAATGTTTTCATAGACGATCTTTGAAGATTAGACTTGTCTCAACTAAAGATGTCCGGGATCGATGCCATTGAAAAGAGACATTGTTGAGACATGGACCGACACTAATGATTATAGTTAAATACCCTCTAGTTTTAATCATATTATCGTATAGGTCATCAATCAAAACGTAATTCAAGAGAGACGACTGGAAAAAGTGCTAGCCCCCGACTATATAAATCAAAAACCGAATATTGAAGAATATTTTTAGATGTAATACGAATAAATTCTGAAATAGTTTTCTCTAGACGAGAACCATAATCACTAGAAAAAATGCTACTGGGGTCGGGATCACTAAAAAAAGCTACCGGACTCGAGATCATTAGAAAAGAGCTACCAGGGCCGGGAGCATTAGAGAAGAAGCTATCAGGACCGGGATCACTAGAAAAGAAGCTATCGAGACCGAAATCACTAAAAAAGAAGTTACTAGGGTCGGGATCATTAGAGAAGATGTTACCGAGACCGCGATCGCTAAAAAAAGCTACCGGACTCGGGATCACTAGAAAAGAAGTTACTGGAACCAGGGTGACAAAAAAAGTTACCAGAGCTGAAACCACTAGAAAAAACCTACTAGTGCGGAATCACTAGAAAAGAAGCTACACAGATTACGATTACTAGAAAAGTTACCGGAACTGGAACTAGATCAGATTTACTAGGAATATGACCGGAGCTAATGGAAAAAAGTTACCGAGACCAAAAAGCTTGGTCCCGCGCATTTCTATCCTTAACTCTTTACTATGAAGATTAATTTCATTATGGAAATTATAATTATTGCATGCGCAATATATTAGCCCCATTCATTGATTTGTTTCCTCTAAATATAACTGCAAAAGTTTCATAAACAAATTTTTCGTGTATATTCTTATTACAAGATTCAATTAATGTATTTGTAGTGCTTTCATATAATAGTAATTATTCTTGAACAGTAGAATAAGTATGCACTCTCAATCTGAAATCTTCTTAATGCGGCCTATATTTTTATAATTGAATCTACAAAATCAATGTTCAGATTAAATTTTAATCAGCTGTATTACATTATCTTTGTTGATGTTATTAATTTATGAAAATTTTTTTGTTTTGTCTAGGACCTGTAATGTTACCGCCAACTCTTGATATTGCTAATAAGATTCATATGGTTGCTGATACTGATAAATTATTTCCTGATTTACCACGTCCATTTGCTTTTGATATTTTATCTGATCTTAATTTCGAATTACTTAATGAAGTTAATTATAAATTTCAATATGATTTTCCTCGTCGTCAATATTCAGGATTACTTACATATCAGAATAAAGTTGATAAAGTTACACATGGTCATTTATTTTCTGGTACAAGTAAATGTGAAGTACAATGGGATAATAAACAAAAAAAAGCAACAGCTACTGGTAACTTTGAAATTTGTATGCGATCACATTCATTAAGAACACATTGGGATATTACTACAAATCTTGTTCAAGATAAAAATGACATGGAACTTGATTTAAATGTTCGTTTTGATCGACAACCTAAAAAAAATTCACCAAATTCATTAATTACTGCATATAATGTTACATTAAAAGCACCAAAACATCAATTATTTCAATTAATTGATCTTGATGGTAATTTAACAAAACAATGGGGTAGATTTGAAACATTTAATTCAATTGCTTTTCGAATGGATAAACAATTAAAAGAAATGAATTTAAATGCTTTTCTTCATCGTAATCAAACTGGTAATGGTTCATTACAAACACATGTATCATTTTCATTACCATTTAAATATATACCATATGTAACACATGATTTTAAAGTAGAACGTTCTTCATCAAATGGTCGTCTTAGTCATATAGAATCAAAATTACTTGCTAAACCAGTTTTTGCACATTATGGTGATGTTGATATTGATTATCTAAAAGGAAATGAACGTCCATGTGTACATGTTGATAATGAATTTGAATATTTGCGTGCTAATGGAGATAGTTTATATGCTTTATCAAAAGTAGAAGTACAACGTTGGTCAGCATTACATTCACATGGTATATTTAGACGAAATACAGATTTATTACATAAACATTCAATCGGTTATGTATTTTCAAATAAAACACGAAAAGTTGCATTATCATTAGTAAGTCCACAAATATCGGGTAATCCATTAAGTATTATTGGTGAAGTGACAATTGATCGAGAAAATCGTATTGGAAAAATGAAATGGCCACAAGAATTTGTTGTACATTTTGAATTTGGTACTCCATTATCAAATGTAACTGCATTTCGTGTTGCCTACAATTTACCTATGTTCAATAAAGATCATGATCGAACAGTTGATGGATCAGTTGGATTTAAACTTGCTTCAACAGTAAGAAAAAATATTTAAAAAAATTTTGTTTTCGTTTTTGCATTAGATTAAATTAAATTATATTTTTTTTCTTATCTAATAGAATATTGCTCCAATTGGTTTTTATGTTCGTGCCAAAGGTTCACTTAATACAACACTTCATGTAACTAAAAAATTACGTATTGGCGATGATATTGCTTTGAATACATTAATAACTGCTCAATATAATCCACAATTAATAAGTCAAATTAGTACAACCGTAAGTTCAAAATATTATGACCAAGAATTTCAACATGCTTTTCATGCTTTATTAAAACAACATCAAGTTATTGTACGAGGTATTTTAAATACAACAGCTAATAAAGATTATAGATATGAAATGGATATTGGTTTTGATAATGATTTACTTACTGGACATATGGAAAGAACTGATGGACAAGAAACAGTTATTTCAGATGTTGATGCTCAAAAATGTGGTCCAATTGGTAAATATAATCGTTGTTATAAAGGTGATATTACTGTACGAACAGGTACTAGTACTTCTGGAAATAAAGGTACATTTGATATTAGTTGGGGTCGTGATATGGCTAAATTAAATGTTAAAGTACCTAATCATATTGAACTTAAATTTGATCATACGCATACTGGTCGTATACGTGATGAAGATTTTAATTCTAAAACAAATTTTGAAGGAAAATTATTACAATCAGATAAACGTGGTTCATTCAGCTATTCAGGTTCAGTTGAAAAAGAAGATGGTAGATGGAATGATGTTCAAATGCAAACATCATTAACAGATATGAAAACAGGTGAAAAATCTTTAGCAACAAATGTTCGTTTAAATCAAAAAATAACTGATAAACTATCAGGAAAATTTCAACGTAATATGAATATTAATCTTGAACGTAAAGGTAATCAACATATCTGTATATCAATATAAGAAAATTAATGATTAAAAACTTTAATATATATATATATTTAGGAAATCCTGTTATTGTTTGGTCAAGTGAATCTGTTAGTTGTCCAAATAATCCATCAAATGTTGTTTATGGTGTATGTCAAACAGCAACATTTAATATGAAAGCAAGTAATCAATTAGCACAACGTCTTCGAGAACGTCTTCAATTGCCAGCTGATCCACAATTATCAAATCCAACTGGACAAGTTACTTATGATGGTACATTAAATTTAGATTTAAAACATGATCCAACATTAGGTCCACATACAATGAAATTTGATTTAAATCGTTTGAAAAATGATGCTGTTGATATGGATCTTACATATCAACCACGAACTAATGATAAACCAATGAATATGAATTTAAAATTAAATCTTCCACGACAAAATCCAATAACAGTAAAATATGATGAAACAATTCGTTCAAAAACAAGTTTTAATGGTGTTTTAAAATATTCACTTAATGCAAATGATAATTCAGCTGAAAAAACTTATCAATGTGATGTTAATCGACCAGATATGAATGCTATTTCAATGAATTGTGTTGGTCAACGAACAACATTAACTGTTGATATTGATCGTAATATGGGAAAATCAAAAGTTTATATGGATTTAAAACGATTTGCAGGTGAACGAGTTGGATATGAAGTTGTATGGAATCGACAAACAAGAGAATTTAATGGTACTTTATATACACTTGTTTCTTCATGGAATGTAAGACGACAACCTGGAAAATCAACAGTGGTTACTGTTAAACAAAAAGATCAAGAAGTTTTACGTGTTGAAGCTACAAGAATGAATGATCGTGAAATTCAAATTAAATTTTTACCTTCCAATGCTCAATTTAAGTAAGAAATTATGCCTTAGTTATAAAATAACTCTTGAGGAAAAAAAACATTAAGTTTATTTTCATATGCAAATTAAAGAAAATTCAATATTCTTACTATGAATATAAATAAATAAATAATTGTTTATTATTTCTAGACTTGTATATGATAATACAACAATAGTTACACTTACACAAACAGCTCCTCAACAACGAGATGTTGCAATGATGACCATTGATCGTGCTAGAATTCGTCGTTATTTACCATCTTTACGCAATCAAGATCGACCATCATATGATATTGACGCACCATTATTAACATCACATAGACCATTATTCGAAATATCGTTTGATTCTTTTGTTTTACTTTCACTTTCACAAGCTGTTCGTAAATTAGGTTCACATAATGGTCGTTATGGTTTAGATACAATTAAAAAAGTATATAAATTACAAGTTGGTGATGCACCATTAACAGTTTATAATGTTCAACATTGGAAAACTCATCGTGAAGATATTGAACTACCAGAAAGTTATTTTCTTCGTGTTGTTAATAATGTTAATGGAAATATGATTCAATTTGCAACTAATAGATGGAATGAAAATCGATTAGTTTCTACAATAAGTCATTCATTTGATGGTGGTAAAACATTAACAACTGATATGAAATTAGAACGAGATTATGGACATCAAGTTGGTTCAATTTACTTTTTCTATAGTTTAGGTTATCGAAATGTTCAAGGAGTTAAACAACTTCGAGTAAATAAATCATATCTATTTTATTTTTCTATTATATATATATTTTTTTCCTCATTAGAATGTTACTCGTCATTTTATTCGTCAGCATTTAACAAAAGATTTACAAAAAACAAATATGGCTGAACTCGTTAAAAACTTTCGAACACGTGTACGATCTATTTTGGAAAAAGATTATGCAGCTGTTAAAGAAATTGTTACTACATGGGGTAGCGAACCAGAAAATAGCTTCCTTCGACGATTGTCGTAAGTGCAAAAATTAGATTTAATTAGATAATTCAAACGCAATGATTACAATTTTATAGTGATAAATCCTTTAAAAAAAAGCTATTAGCGCAATCCCTGTGGGATTAGAATATGAAATACGATGTAATTACTGTTGCTAATCACAGAGAGACTCTTTTATTTTGGATCGGATAATAATTCAAATATCAGAAAGAAACATGATTGATATACAGTCTGTTGAGGGGTATCCAAATTCCTGTTAGATTGTGTTTCACAAAGCGAAGACTTCGAATTCGAAGTCTCTGTAGAGTATCGTTACAAAACAACGAAAAGCACAATCAATGAGAGTGTGGATTAGTGAAGAAAAGATTCACATTTATACTTACACCCACACTCCAAAATAGATTAATAGATCGAAAAGGGAAGTACGAGCAAGAACTAATCACTTATATGCACATCCACTGTGATGAATCACTGTTAAATATAAGTAATTGAACCATGCTAAGCAGAAAAAAAGTTCGTTGAAAGAGCACTATACCCTTAGTGTTTGAAGTGTGTTGTGTCTCCCTCGAATAAAAAAGTCTTTTTTATCAATATTAAATCGTATTATAAGAAAAATAGATTAATTCAAAGATATGAAGATAATTTTACATGATTTTAGTAATCTTTCAATCTATAGAAAAATATTTTGGTTGTAATTGAAAATTTTTGAATCTAGTCAAACAATATATTTCAATTTTATTTTTCTTAGTACTCGTCTTGGTCTACCTGATTTCTTTACAAAATATCCAACATATACTGAAGCATCTGATCGTATCTCTGCTGTACTTCGTGAACGTTCTGTTCAACGTGAAGAATTCTGGCGCAATCGTTTTGAAGTAATTCTTAATGATAATCGTCTCTTAGATTTATCTAAACGTGTTCAAGTACGTCGTATGGCAATAATGAAATCTATGTTAGAACGAACAGAAAAACTTCTTGATCGTTATTTTCCAAAAGTTGATCAATCAAAAATTGATGAACGTATAGCTAATTATGTTCGAAAAATATTAGCAGGAGTTGAACAAATGTCAAAACGAAATACTGAAAAATGGAAATCAATATTTAAAGCTATTGATGATGCAAGTAAAGGTGATGATAATAAATGGTTTCGAACGTTAGTTGCTGATATTGATTCAAACGCAATGGGTGCAGCAGCTGATGCTGAATTAGCTAAATTATTAAAAAAAGTAGGTGATTCATCAAAATTATGGATTAGTAGTATTCAACAAATGTCACGACGTATGACTAAACGATCAGAAGCTATGCGAGAACGTATTAGAAATGCTATCCGACATATGCCAAAGGTTAATTAATTATTCTATCAAAATTTTTATCATTTTAATTATTTGTCATTTTTTTAGGCATCTATCAATGAAACAAATTTTGAAGTCTTAGTTCCAATTGGTAATCAACCAGCTAGTTATACTGGAACAAATGAATTAATATATGGTATCGGTAGTTTACTTCGAAATCGTGATCAAGCATTGGATACAATTCGTTCTGTATTAATGAATCGTGTTCAATCACGTAGTGAAACATGGCGAAATTATTGGAAAGCATTACGTACACTTGCTAGACGTTTATTTCAACGTAATCCATCATTAACACCAGAATTTTATGCTGTTATCGCACATACTGGAGATGCTATTGATTTTCATGGTGATTATGTTTATCTTAATCCAGCATGTGACTATGTCTTAGCACATGATTTTGGTGGTTTACAATTTTCATTTCGTTTTGCATCTGGTAAAGTTTATTCAGTCGTGCCAAACCAAGTCGAAATAAAAGAATATGAATGTTCAAACACTGGCCGTGTTCAACTTTGTAATCAAGGATATTATTCTACTATTAGTGTACCGATGTATTATGGTTAGTTAGAAAAAAGAAGACATTTTTTAAGTTTATTTTTGTTTTATGTTTTTTACGTTTAATTAGGTGGTCTTGTTGATGGTGCACTTGGTGATGTACGTGATCGTAGTGGTACAGAACATGGAGATCTTAGCCGTTGGTCAGTACAAAATTGTCCAGCTACAACACGTGATCAACCAAAAGACGGTGGATCATCGATTCCTGAATGCGCTAGTGATGATGATGTAAGTTAAATTTTCTTTTTTTTTTCGTTAAAATGTTCTTTTTTTTTGTTCTATGATATTAGGAAGAACAACAATTTTGTGAAAATTTTGTTCAAAGAGGTGTAAAAAACGGACTTGATAGACGGCTTTTAGTTATTCAAGCAATGGCTGCACGAAAATATACAGTATAAATATACGTATACATATATATACATGCATAGAATAGGGAAAAAACAACGAAGTTTTTTTTTCCTCCTTTAGTGTATTTTATTTTGTCATTTTAAATGCTCTTTATTAATTTACCTTATTATTTACCTGAAGGTTAACCTTCATTTTGCATGCTACTTATCTTATTTCCTTATATACCTATATTATATTGAAATGAATAAAAATAAGGAAAAGATTATATATTGTTCAATTGTTTTCATTAGGATTCAAAAAATATACAGTCAAAACATTTACATAATGCTTTTTGTATTCTTGGTGTTTTTGTGAAGACAAAAAAATATTTATACATCTAAATGCATTTACAGATATTCATCGTTGCTCTTTGTACAATACTTACATTGACATGAATATGATTTTCCAGTACATAATCAATCATTGCAAGTAGATTGTATTGCATGAACTATTGTTCATTGAAAATCTTTATCGCCACTTCTATCATCGAATGAGAATCTACCCGCGCGTAGCGGAAAGTTTTACGAAAATTATAGTTCACATGAAAACTTTTTAACGTAGAAAATTGATTGATTTCTCAACAGAGGACAATCTAACTGCTTTCTATTTAATTCCTTTCATTGGTCAGCAGTATTAGAGAATTTCATCTGCTTGTGTCGCTGCTTAAGTTAAAATTTGTTTTGTTCTTTCTAATGCACATAACAAAATTTTCGCCACAAGCCACGACAAGACCGCTGAAGGCAAAGCAACAAGTTAGAGAACGATGTTATCCTGCTAATCCTCAATTTTTCAGTATGATTTGACTCAACTAATGCTATTTTATAAGAGAAGTGAACAATATCTCATATGAAAATTTTTAAGCCATGGTTCAGTTGTAATAAATCATTTTCGAAATGACCAAGTACCAAGAATATCAGTATTTTTCGTTTATTGATGAAACTACCTAGGACATACCAAAAGTAATGGCAGTAGTAATTTAATTCCTTATAAAAAAAAGCTTAAAGTAACTTCTTCTCTATATTCATGAATTGTAAAAACAACGCTCTATTCCTCTGCGCTATTATGTCATTCTTCAACTAATAGCATAATAGTAAAATTTCAATAAGACCTGTTTGGCTATCATATGCGACAGTTGCATTAGTTCATATTGTCTTCAACATATATTCTCTTGGTTTTCTCGTCTCCTCTAATGCGTAGTTGTCTATGTATATACAGATTAGACTATACAAAAGGCAGTGGCACCGAAATAAAAACCGACATAGAAGAACAAGTAGCTCGTGCTTCATCTTCAATCTCTTATCGGCTTTCACAAAATCATTTAGACCATCTTTCAACTATCCGAAGAGAAGAAGTTTCGTCGTCACAAACAGAATATAATTCATCATGAATAATTCTTGTTTGAATATTAAGTGCAGTGCGCACTTTAATGTAATGTCCATTTAGAAACATAATGTGCTCCACTGTTTTTGGCTAATTCAAGAACACAAATAGCTAGAGATCTGCGGTTTTCACCAATTGATAGAAGACGGTGGAGAACACAAATCTATAAAAGAACCAATGACCTGTCATACTTTGAAGGTGATTCATTTTCTGAACCTTTCAAAGATCAGATGGTAAGGTTATGATATTCTAATGATTTTCCAATTATCATACCATGGCTAATTAGGCTATAATATTGTCTAGCAACCTGCACAAAGCCAACTTCTGTAGCTATTATATGTATAATGACGGTTGTATACCAATGAAATGTTCGTCAGACATAGAAATTCTGAATCAACTGTAGATGTACTCTGTGTCTCACGATAGATTCATTTTCGTCATCTATTGTGTCTCTATAAAAGATATAATATAAATAATACGAAATGAAGATAACTATATAATAAATTACAATGATGAACAGTGATTCCATTTTGTTTCGATAATATAACTTGACATCGAAGTATCTTAATAAAATATATTAGATGTATTTTGATTAATATTCACTTAATAGAAATATTCTAATCCATGTTTTTTCCATAGAAATGATCATTTACATTAGTAAAACTAGTTTGATATGAGAAAAAAACGCCCCTATGACCAATTTTTTTGGGAAAAGAAACATGCAAAAATTCGAAAAACTTATTATCAGTTGGTACAGAACAAGTTATGTCTACCGATCAGTGCAGAGTTCTCTATCGAACCGGCCGTTTACCGTTACCGATTACAACACTGTACTGCATATATGCATTGATTTATTTAATTGAGATGAAACTGCTTGATTCAAATCGGCTAAGTCTTTTGTAAGTTTCTTGTATTACTGTTTCTGTCCTGTACCTAACTTTGGGCGTGAACAGGTTTAAATAGCTATCAATATTGACCAACTACCAATTGTGTACGATTCGTATTTTTTTTTTTTATTATTTCCAATAGATACGGTAACATCCAATGATTGATTGGTAAAAACAAAAACAGAAAAAGAATTAAGAATCTGAACAATTAAAAAACAAAACATATTATCACATTAAGCGAATAAATCTATTCTATACATGTATAGATTTCTGACTAGAAACAAAATATATAGTTTATTAGCATTATAATTATTTCGTAATTTTTCTAATATATTTAAAATATGAATAAATAAAAACACCAAACATTGTAAAACTTAATCCAAATATTTGCTGCTGATTAAATGATTCATTAAACAAAGTTGAACCAACTAATATAATTAATAAAGTTTTTGAATGTCCAATCATATTATAAGCAACAGCAGATAAATTACCAATAACCCAAAAAATACTAATATTAACAAAAAAAGCAATAATACCACAAAGTAATATAAGCATAATTGTATCATAATTCATAAATTTTTTCAAACTACTTATAGGTTCAAAAAATGGTACAACAAATAAAAGTAATAAACCAGAAAGTGGTGCTTGATAAAATAATAATTGTAATGCATCACAATTATATACTTTTTGATAATGTTCAACAAGTATTTGATAAATAGCAGTAAATGATATAGATATAAGAGCACCTTAAATAATATAAATTGAACGATGTTTGAAAAAAATAATAAAAATAAAACCTTACAGAAAAGACCAAACATATTAAATTGTAAATCATAACAAGTACTAATTAGTGTTCCAACAAGAACTGGTATAAAAGAAAGAACGATTGGTATTGTGTAATGTGCTTTAAAAAATAACCAACTAATAAGCATCACAGCTAAAAAACAAGAACATTCTAATATGTAAGAATATAAATGATGAATCTGTTTCTATCAATGTTATCCGAAATGCTTATATGATTTGCGAACTTGAAATTCTTCAATCGATTCTTTATCTTGATTTGCATTCATTTAATCATTAACCAGTTTTTTTTTCGATTCAAATCTACTCTCTTCTCTTCTCCGCAAGGTATTGTAACTATATATATTTGATAAGTCAAGTTTATTGGTACACTTTTACAAATTTATGAATCAGAGATAAATTTCTTTAACACTTTCTCGACATTCCTAATCAATAACAAATAGAAAGCTTCAAAGACAATTTTTGTTTTACATTATAATTCTAAAAATAAGAATTAATTGATCATAGAAAACAAAATTCACATAAATTTAATCATATTCTAACGTACTTGGTGTAACTTGTAATTTAATAAGTTGATATGTTCCAACAGTATTATATTGTAATGAAAGATTACTAAATGCAATAAAACCACCAAAACATATTGATACAGGTATCATATTTAGAATTGGTAAACGTACATATGTAAATAATTTAGCTTGTAGACAAAGAAGTAAGAGAAAAAATGATATAAAAAAATTTATTGTTGTCAATGTTAAATTTGGAAAATGATGTTTAACATAAATCCTATTATAACAAAAAAAATTCTATAAGATTTTTTCAATATTTTCTTTTTTTTTACCATTTAGATAAATTAATAACAAGAATTGATGAAATAAAATTTATTAAAAAGATAAACGTTGACCAAAAACACGATCCTATAATATGTTGATTAGCAATTTGTTTTTCCTGAGATGATGAATCAGATGTGTTAGTTGATAATAGTAATTTATTGTCGGAATAACTCGATGAAACATGAATAGATGTATCTTTATTATCAATTTTTTCATGATCTTTTCTAGGATAAGAATAAGACATTATTTTTCTAGAAATAATAAAAATTTATTTTATATAATCAAATCATTTAAAAATAAAACAAAATGTATATAGATTAGTTTTTGAAGAATATAGAGCCTCAGTTTCTTCAAAATGCTATATTCGATCGAACTGGATATAATTTTACTGACACTAGACACTGTTTGAGGTGGATGTTTTTTACCTTTTTGTTCATCGAATAAAGTCAGTAGAACAATATTTTGTGAAACAGAAAAAAGACATTGAATAGTACTCGTGAAAAAATTTTCAGCCCGTCCGATTGGACGTATTAGACAGGAGAAATGGGAGCGTTTCTGCACGTTTTTTTAAAGAAAAATTGAGTTTGAGAAAAACGAGAATCGATCTTTTTAAGGTTTAAAGACAATTCTTGGATCCCAAAATGTATTCAGTAAATGAAAACTACTGCCGACTGTACAATTATCATAAAAAAAACAAAAATATTTTATCATGGAATCGAGTGGTAAGAGGGATACCCTTAAGTACAACAGAAAGAAAAATATTTCAAGATTTGCATACTTTCACTGGATTAATCATGAAGAAAAGAATTAAGAGCTTCAACTATTTTTATATAACGTGATTGAATTTATTATAATTTCAGATTTGAAGAGAAAAACCAATATTCAGTCAAGAAATATTGAGCTAAGAAAAATTATTTTTAATAAAGTTTTATTCAAATAAACAAACTCGAAACCAAGACAATCTCTCCTTCAGACGTAATTCTTTGGTAAAAGAAATCATTATTCTAAAATTTAAAACATCTTATGTTTCTCAATGATATACAGAATTTCATATGAAATAATTTTCGATTAATCTCATATATTTTAGCTTTCCTACAGATACACTCTTATATTAATCATTGACGAACTATCATAAAAAAAAGTCTAAGTCTCAGTGGCTAAACGAAAGGCTAGCTCGAATGAGTATTCGATAATAATCTAATTGATAACATACCGAAGTATTCATTAAATTCCTTTATGCATTATTTGTGATTCCAAGACAGACTTTATCAATAAATATTCGATTTCATATTTTCAATATCATTCAAAGCATAGCTGCTGAAAATCATCGATAATCAAATGTTCAGGACAACGAACAATATATGAATAACAAAACAGAATAGAGAATACGTAGATGACTATTATACAGCAGATATGTCAGCATGTAAGTGATCAAACAAAAACTGCCTACAGCTATTACAATGAGGTACATAGTCGTGAAAAAAAAAATTTACATGAAAAAGAGATACTCATCTAATATTAAAGTTATATATATATGTTCTTTTTTTGAATGAATGCTATACGATAATTATAAACTTACGAAAGTCTTATTTCGAAATTTTCAATTAATCTTTTCCAGATTATATCATTCAATCTTGTAATATGTTGAAAATAATTAATCAAAAAAAAAATAAAATAACTATAACAACTACGTTGAAATATTGGTTCTCGTTAGATTTTTGTTATATAATAGAGCATCCGATGGATATATATTTTTGTATATTCCATATATTATTCAATGGTGTTATCGAGTACACTATGAAATTTATGGAGGGATATGACTGATGTTTCTTTGAAATTATTCGTCTAGATTAATCTTAGACATAATAATACTTGCGAGAAAAAAAAAGAAAACAAATACTTTTAGTAATGGTATCTTTTACTACCTTCGAGTTTGAATTGTAAAATAATCTCATTCACAGTTCGAGAGAAATAATATTCTTCTTTCAAAATAAATGTACAAATACAAAAAAAAAAGAAAAAGAAAAAGTTACTTTTTAAATACGACAAAAATATAATTTATGATTTAAAAACGCGTACTACACGCACAATATTCGATCGACAAATAGGACATTCGGCAAGCAATTTACCACATTTGACACATGTTACCTAAACGAAAATAAGAAAAAAGGATTTTTTTATACTTACTTAATCTTTTAAAACAAAATATCCTAATTTAAATCCTAACATCAATACTCTCAATATTTTATCTAGATACTCTTTTTTTTTTTACAATAATAATTAGACCTTCGGAGTAAAAGAGCAGTGTCGCATATTTGATTCATATACGGTACATAAAACATTGTCAATATTGATTTAACATAATTATTGAAAATAGTAATAAAAAAAGCCTACCACGAAAAATATGTAGCGTAATTATTATGCAAATAAAAGAAAGAAAGAAAAACAAAATTCATTAAGTTTCAATGGTTGGAACTAGACAGATTAGTTCGAAAATATCGTGCCGATCACTCAGAATAAAATTCTATAGGAAATAATCAATTATTTATTATTTTTCTTTATATAAAACATCTTTTCACTATCTTATTTTCTTATAGTGCTACCAAATTTTTTATTGTATATCAACTTACCATATGACCACAATCTAAGAAGACACAATCAACAATAGCATCCATACATATTTTACATAGTTCACTATCACCTACTGTTAGATCATTAAGTTCTTTTGCTAAAAAAAAAGATATGTTTTTAATTTAATTAAAAGAAAAAAAAATTTGATTAATATACCTTTATTTTTTTCATTTTGTCGATCACGATAAAGTCGTCGAACTTTATCAATTAATTCACTTTTTTCAATACAACCTTTAAAATCAACAAAATTTGCTGCTAAAAGTTCTTTTAATTCACGTATATTTAAATCTTCAATATTTTCTTCATTATTTATTTCACTTAGAGATTTTCGACGTATTTGTTGATTTGTAGTCTAAAAAAAAATAAATATTATTTTCGAAAAAATAAAAACACATAATTAACCAACCGATTTCGAACTAGCAGTTGCTGATGCAGATGGTGGAGGTCTTCGTTGTTGTTGTGTATTAGTTGGCGTCGGTCTATTTGTTGTTGTATGAGTAGAACTACTAGGTGATGTTCCACGATTAGGA